GAAAACTAATATGTGTAGTTAATATTTAATTCATTGACTATCAAAGTAAGCTGTGTTTACTTTCATTAAGACCTTTTGTTTTAAAATTGTCTGGTACTTTGTAACCCAAAATGAATTCTTTCTTCTTAATTCATATCGTCTGAGCTTTTGGTTTTTCATTACTCATGATATTATTATCATTTCTACTACTCTGATATTCAAATTGATAATTTTTGTGCCGATATGGTGTGGGAACTTGAATTGAAGTACATATATACCAAGCTCTATGTTAGTTATGGTTGATTGACTGAGTGCGAATGTATAAACTGACACATAAAGCATAACCAAAAACAGATTTATATAAATCTAAACCATACCCGATAAATAAGCCTCATTATATGAGATGAATTTTTCGAGTTTTTTTCCAAACCAGAAATCAGTCATTCAGGTGTAATAAAATCAATTCATTAACCAATCAAGGACTACTTTGTGCAACATTCTAATTTCTGAGATATTCTGTCTAACCTTTGAAGTCTTAATGTTAACAATTTACCTTAGTGTTATCCATATAATTCTATATTTTTCATCATTATAATTATAAGTAATGCATACGAATCAGTTATATTGTAAAGTATTGGAATAGGATTTGACAGACTACTCAATCACAATTCACATTAATAAAATATTCATTATGAACTTGATGTTTACAAAATTTATGATTATTACCTTTCTGAATGACAAAATAACTTCCATACTCTGTATAATAATAAGTGTATTATCAGGATTTCAATTTATAAGTGGCTACAAATCATGTCTTGTTTGAGAAAAAAACAACCTAAGATACTACAAAATTATTAATCCTATAAATTTGCAGAACTGAAACTGATGAAATATTTAAAATTGAAACAAAAATTATGATGATATCACATTATCTCAGTTGAATGATCCAATCACGAGCTTTGCATTATCATTCTAGATAACATCAATAATAAATAGCTATCAAAAGTACTGAACAATGAATATATCGATAATGCAACAATTGGGATGACTCTTCCAGTCTCCTACATTGTACGAGCATTCCATGTATCTAAATTAATGGTTGCTCTGGTTGTCAGAAGGGGCATCAGCCTCATGACTTCTGAAGCAACTCGGCTTTCACCATGAGGCATCATAACTCTTCTAAATAAAGACCTTTTACCTCCCAAAATAGAGTTCAAATAGTTTCAATTATTTTTTCTGGTTAGCGTTTTTTCTCGTGTCTGTTTTCTACGGGATTGGGTTGCTAACCACATGCTCAACCCTCCCCCTTTATCCGGACTTGAAACCGGCAGTAGCCCAAGAAGGGCTCCAGACTGAGTTATATCGATTATAACAGCAACATTACATGTGTTAATTAATAAAACTTCAATATTGACAAAACAATCTGTTATTCATTTATAATGAAAAAAGTCGATTATATTATCCAGAAATGCAATAAAAGCACCATACATAAATCAACTAACCAATTCATAAAACACAAAATAATCAACATTATAAGTTGTCATAATTATTCCTTTTATTTAATTATTAAGGATATTCCATTTACATATTGATTGTCAAGTATCAATATTCTAATCTAATTCATTTTACTCCCCCTTACTGATATAAACCCTATCTGTTTAAATGTTTAACGTTTAATGATAGAAAAAAAAGTATTTTTTATAGAAAAAACATAAGATTGACTGTTTATTATAAAGACTAATGTGTTTCCTGTCATTTGTCCAGTGATCAGATCAGATTTTTTTTAAAAACTACACAGTAACTAACTTCTGCCTTTTTTAATCATCATTATGATTAGATCTTTTTTTCTTCTTTTTGATATCAGTATTACTGATGTAATAAAGCAAATTAATTATCTAGAATATTGTTTTAATTTCTAATCTATTAAACATTCAATTATTTATGAAATTGAATGTTTTCAAAAGTAGTTTGTATGTAATTTTGTCCAATTAACAACTATTTAGTATTAAAACAGTAATGTAATGATAATTTTTTATGATATTCAATATTAATTTGATCAATCAATATATTGATCTGGATACCTTTTATATTTTTTGGAGAGTCAATAATTATTCTTAACAAAATAACAGAAATATCGAAGTAATGCTAAAAATAAGTTATGCTGATCAGTATTGTTTTTTGTTGTTGTTGATGTAGATACTTGTAAGGGGGTAACTACAACTTGAATAAAGTTTTATCTATAAAATTAGTCTCACTTTACTAATACGAATAGTGAAGTGTACAATAACAATAATTTATCTTATTGAGTAATGCTCTCACGTCATTATAATCAACAAAAGAAGTTAAAATATCAGCTAATGAATTTAATACAAAGAAAAATGTACAAGAAAATAACTAGATATGCAATTAATATTTACTTCCGATAGAATTTGGATACTGAATGGTAAACTTGTCTTTTTTTAGTATGGAATATATCCAAATGGTAAAAAATCAGTAGTTAGAAAGTTCAATATAGTGAAACATTAATACTAAATTATAAAACATTTCTCTCTTTGTCTTGACAAAAATGTTTTGAAAATAAATTTTATTAGTGATTAGCATTAGCAAAAAACATCATTATTGAATAGATTTAGTTCACCAGTTACCTGCTTTCTGGTTTATGATTCTTCAGAAGTACACAATCGTGACGTCACAGGTGAAGAACTTATTATACGTCTTGCCTTTTAAAGAATATAATATTATCCAGTAGTCACTATGTTTATTTCAAGTTAAAGAATATGAAGTGAACCTCATACAATAACAAAATCATTTTCGTTTGTTTTAATCCTCTTATTATATCTAACAAATAGAAATCATGATTAGATCATACAAGTTTATATATTACAATCTGGTTGTATAATAAATATTTCGATCTGCTGTACTTAATTAACATTAATGATTTTACAGGAAAGTAATAAACGATATCTCTTTGACCAATAAAATGGTATAAGTCATGTATAAGTTTCATTTGATAGTAAGTTCAAGAAAATAGACGTAGTGAAAATCTCAATACTGTTGAAGTTGATTATAACTATCATTGGAAAGAACACAATTTACTACTGAATTAATTAACAAAACGATGATATCAAAGTATTATATAAAATTTCAGGCAATAAATTTCCGAACGATTCCAGAATCCATCTGAATGGATTTTTACTTCACAATTAATAAAATCCAGGAAACATTGAATAGCTATTTTAAGTGCTGAGTCGACCATGTTCACATATAAACTCAACAGTTATGGAATCTAAGATATTTAAATAAAGGCTCTTATATCATACTTTACCAATAATAAGTTTGAGGAATTTGAGTTAGAATAATTAACAAGATGTTCATAAATATAACATGAAAATTCAAAAATTACATCTGAATGTCCATAAGTGCAGAAAATTTCTTTATAAAATAATGCTGATGCTTTTCAACTGGATACAAATCGACTACAAACTAACGTAAATAATTAGCTTTTCAATGTTTAGACTACTATAGTCGTCAATACCATCATCACCACCATCATCATCATCATTGTCGTCGCTGTCATCAACTGCAATATTCACAGTAGTGACAATAAAATGTATCTTAGATTCTAACTAACTGATTTGAATAATAATAATAATCTGATCAGTTGTTCAGATGATGAAACTATTTGTTTTTCTTCTTGTTAAAGAAAGTTTTCTTTTTTTTCCTACTTCATTTCATTTAATCTTTTCCATAATATACAGGTGATTTTGACTAACTGACATTTGTCATAATATGTGCTTTTTGTTTACTAACTATTTCTTACCAAACAAATTTGTTATTATTTCAAGACTGATTAGAGTAAATTATGTTTAATGACGTTTTATCTCTAAATAACTATATAAACATATAAAAAGTAACCTACTTTGTTTTAGAAAAATAAAAATACGAAAACAGTGTTTTTAAATATTGTTTTTAACATATTCTTGATGTTCACTTTTTCTTAATTTCAAATTTTGCACAAAAATAGTAAGGAAAGCAACTTGAATATTTACTCTTATTGAATACCATGATAGATTTAAAGAAACATATATTCACATACAACAGTACAAGGAAGATTAAACATAGTGATCTTATATAGTGACAAACATATTAATCTATTACTCATGAAATCTTAGTATGTACCTTTGCATACTGGTAAAACTTTCAAACTGATGGTAACTAATCACTAGAGATCAATCAACTATTCGTTTTTTTATGACATGGATAATCTTCAAGAGTAAGCCTATTTTAATAAGAATATTCAGAAAGTAAAAACCTTTATCTTTTTTTTCAAAAATAATTAGTTAATGTTGATTTATTTTTAGATCCAAGGTAAATAGTTGGTGTTGAGAAATCAGATGAGAAATTACCATTATGAATTGTATGGATTAAATTACAGTTTTAGTTTAGATACTGTTAAGCACAAAAACTCAAGATGCTAAATGAAACAGGGAACAATTAATACCATTCAGTAGAATACTGAACAGAGTATAGGTATCTGAAATGACAATCACTACTGAGTTAAAGTCTATGAGAAAAAACCTATAATAGTCCATTGATACATCTTGATTACTAGTAATTAATGAAACGGAGCTTATTATCTGGATTCAGTTTCTAGCTATCACTTTATATTCAGTGATTAAATTTCTTCAAATTTCGATTAATGTAATTTATTGATCACGTTTGTTTAGTCTGCTTTCAAGTATAATCCTTTTTATGAATGCTGACTTAATAGAGTTTTAATCCGAAACCAAATGATTAATAGCTTTGTGTACATCTAATGAAACAGAAAATTTTTGAAGTCGATTAAAAACCGCAATGGTACTTTTTTATCATGATTTTCAAGCACAGATTAAAATCAGTATAGGTAATAACAAAAAACAAAGCTAGACATTGTTTAATAATAATATTGTTTTATTCAGACTGTAAAATAGTATATGTAATTACGTAATTCAATGTTATCTTGATTGGGTTTTTTATTTTAGATATTTTGTTATGCAAATAACCATAATTAATTCTCATTCTGATCAAAAGAAGAAAGAAACACGATAACAAATAAATATGCCTATACCAAGTATTCATGTAAATTCGATTGAAGACAATGAAAATGACGACAGACGAAAAAAGAAACCTTCCATACCGATACTACAAGTAGTCGGTGAAAATATCGATGGACGTGAAAATGATGTTAACAGTGGTGATGATGATGACGACGATGTAATGACAGCTGAAGAAGAAGCCGCTATCGCGCGTCGATTTCTTAGTGGAAACGATCAAACAGAACAACGCAGGTAAAATAAATAACGAACATTTGTATTATCTAGTTAATATTCCGAAGATATCTATAAATCGTTTGTATTTACTTTAAATTATTCTATGATATATAGTATTCAACACTCGATTTTAAAGATTATTTATTCATAAAAATCAGCTTTGCTACAGCCATGATTATGAAAATTTACAGTGTTTTGTCTAGTTTTCATAAATGACCAATAAAATTCAAGAAATTGAGGATCATTAATGGGCTGTTAGACATTTACTTCATTCTAGAATCGGGTACCTCAATGGTGTATATCCATAAACGTGTACGAGATCAAACGATAGTTCTTCATCTTTTACAGAAACCACCGCGTCTAAATACTTATCTGAAACGTCTAGGTTTACAGAGTCACTGAGGCTCATGCTTACTAGTACTGTAGTTATAAGTGATTACATTTAGGAACAAAGTCATTAGGATAGAACTGATGCACTAAGTAACTGCTAAAGAATCCACCAATCATTGGAACTTTGTAGTGCTTAACATCCTTTTACAACATTTACTGTCATTACGGTAGAGAGAAAAATTCACCACATTTTTTCTGTATACAAAAGCAGCTGAAGGCTACGGCTCATGTAAAACAAAGTGGATTTGATGCTTTATGTTTGATCATTACTGTTAAAAGGCTTAAATGTATCATTTATTGTTAACTATCCATCAAGTGTCTAGCAAGTACTTTTGTAAAATCTTCACGTAGGTTTTTGCAACAATGTTCAAGGAAATTTTTTACATCAAATATCTGCAAATTTTGAACGAAATAGAAAAATGATATCAAGCATTGAATCGATCACTGTTGGTTGATATGAAAGCAAACTATTTAGACAGTGTAAAAACTTAGTTTCAAGTGATTTATTTATATGAATTAACTGTTCAAAATGCATGGATTCATTTGACTAGTTGACTTGAAGACACTTGAAGAATGTAACTGTAGAATCTCCAAAAATATTTGATAAAATTGACACCGTTAGAATGAATTTATTTAAATCATTTTAATATTTACACATTGCTCATGATCATTTTTTTGTTCCTGATATTATAACTTTGCCTTATTGACTTTAGTTTTTGATTGGTTTATATTGATTTTTGATTTTTTTTGATTTTTTTTAATATTTCAAAGAATGTCTTCATTGGACATGTATCTCTCGCAGCCTGAAGTAGTAAGTTAACTTCATTGGTTATTCTTATTTATTAAATTAATCCGTAATAAGAAGTTATAACTTGAAAATAGCTAACTAGTCTCTCACTATCTTTTACAGTTACTTGTGTGAATGAAAAGAGAAGTTTTAAACAACATGAATAAAAATAAAGATTCGAAGGAATTTTTGAAGTTTGTTTTAACAAAAATAATAAACAAAAATGTTGACTATATTCCAAGATAAGCAAATAGATGATAGAAAGCTTGGAATAATTTACAATAAACACACACCAAATGATGTTTGTAATCAATAGGGGAAAAGGATGAACTCCCAAATCAGAACACTTTCATGTATATTCGCTAATTAAACTGTCATTATAGGAGCAACTATTTGTACAAACGACCTAGACAATTTATAGTTTCCCTGTCAAATACTTTCTACCATGACTGTAAATAATTAAGTCCATTTAAAATACTTTGCTTTTTCATTTAGTGGACTAAGAATGGAAATGACAAACTCTCAACATATTCTTCAACATAAAGATTGTCAGTTAATAGTTAAGTTTGAGTATATCCCTTTGTACAAGGCAGTAAAAGCAATATTGGCCAGTATTTTCCATCCAAGTTAGTGGATACGGAAATCATTGATTACATCTACTAGTTCTTCATGGCTTTCATTTACCATTAGATTACAATAATAATTATTACGTCGGATAAATCATTTTATCGTATATCTAATTTTTATTTCTATTCTCATTAATCTTATTGTCTTAACATTAGATTAACGATTTTGTTAATTATTTATTTAATTTACTAATGACATAACTATTTTGTTATCAATTCAGTAAAACTATTTTTTAAATCCATGTTCCGTAAATTCATACAATTGTTCATAAGCTCTCTTAATACTAGTGCAAATATTTTTTTATTTTCTATATCTGTTATCAACACTATGATCCACTACCCCATATATATATATATATATATATATATATATATATATATATATATATATATTCTCATTTTATGAACAATAATGGTCAAATGTTCTAAATTATCAGTTTTCTGATAACTATTATAATCTGATAATAGATTATTTAAAATGGAAATTGGTTTAAAATACATTTTCTGACTATCTAAAATATCAGTAGGGGTTTTGTGGAGATTGTAGTATTTTCAGTTTCATGCAAGAGACTGATAGGTCCTGGATTTGAATCTCGTGAAGAGGGATCGTGGATGCTCACAGCTGAGGAATCTCACAGTAGGATGAGGCGGCCGTCCAGTGCTTCCATGTTTTTCATAGTGGTCTGGCTTCAATCGACTCATGATCTCAACTATCTGAAATATATTTAAATTACATAATAATAATTACAGGAAATCAACTGAAGCTTAAAAATAATTCACTATACAACTAGCTAATCTCTGTCGAATTTTGAGTCCATATGAACTACGATAATATCTGACTGAGCAGTTATGAATTTTTTTAAAAAAAAATTATGTTTGTAAATCATTTAAGTAAGGAAAATCAAGTAGCATGTCTCAGTGATTGAGGAGCATTTTTAAACATTTGTTATGTTTTAGTCTTCATGCGTTACTGGATAAATAACTTAGTCACCTATAAGTAACGTTGAACCTGGAACTTATGTGAATCAGTCCAAGTGCCACATCATGTCAGCACAGGAAGATAAAATTATTAGAATTAATATCTAGGTAGTAGAAAAAATAGTAAGTTAGGGATACAGAATATGATTTGAGAAAAACGAATTTGTATAATAAAAGGCAATAAATAATTTCGAGACTCTGGATCTATAGGGAGACAATGACTTAGTGTATCTACATCACTGTGATTTATTCTGAGAAGTAATGTGATATCTCGAACCAATTGGTATGATAATCATGGGGATCCCAATCAGTTAGCCTAGATCTACCAACATGACTAAGACCAAATGTCTGTAACTTCATGGACTGATGCTACGTTTTATTCGACCGTTTCTGGCTTTCTTTCAGCATACTCCCATGCGATCCAGCATCGTTCGTCACGCTAGTTAGTTGTTGGGCATACTAAATGAATCATGATGTAGAATTACTTAGGACATGGATCAAAATGAAGTTTTCTTAAAAGAAGTCAGTCATCACTGAAGACTATATTCACTGGCCAACTAATCAGTCAGTGATTAGCATGACTGTATAGTACGTCCGGGAATTATCACATACATATAGTAACATTTCGAATATTCAATCATCATGATGTACTTTATGGATTTAAGTTGACAACGAAGTCTCTGTAGGATACCGGCCAATTTATTTGTATTACCTTGTTTTTCCTCAAGTGGTCTACAATGAACCTTCCATTAGTTAGGTTCCTGTTCTGTAATGATCCCGATGGTATTTAGTGACTAACAGATGACTGAGAATTGATTCTCGTGTATATTTAAGTCATGGCTTTTGTTAAGCTTTTATTTGTGATGAAATCTGTCTAAATTTATAATATTTAATTTTACTTTTCTTGATTAATTTAGAAACAAGAACCCATGATAATTAATCGTCATATAAGTTTGAAAGAAGAAGAAAAAGGTGTAAGTTGTTTTAAGAGATTTTGCTGAGTAGAGTTATTGGATCATTTACTTGACTTTTTTATCATTATCCAATGTTACTTGTTAAACTAAAGATTAATAGTTTGTTCATTTTACATGAAAATCGAAATTGAAATTTCCTATATTAAATAATAGAAAGTTATACTTCCAATCTAATGAAGAACTGTATCTATGGCTCGTGTCAACAGTAATAAACAATTATTACTTTATGGTCATGCTCAAATTTTCAATGTAATGAAGAAAAAAATCCGAAATATGGTGAAACAATCCTACTGCACTTAGTAACTTCTAATATTTTTGCGAACAATTAGTTCTTTGTGCTACTAAATAGAAAGGCATTGAGAACGCTGGATTACAACATTTAGTTTTCTAAGGGAAATGCCAGTTATTTTAGACAACGTACTTAATAGGTGTGTACCATAATCATGACGAATCTTATCCAGTTTATAACTAATTAAAAAGCAGTTTTGTAAATGAATAGTTTGTGGAAAGTAAATAATAATGTTACAACTAGGTAAACAGACTTTGTGAAATTAATTAATCCGAAAAGATGGATGGTGGTTAGTAGAAGAATCCGGGACGCGCGTTTCGTCCTGTTTGAGACTCGTCAGCTGAGTGTACCTGCACCCCACAGTTGGTGTTCATTCCGGGACTCGAACTCATCACCATCTACTTCAAACGCCATCGCGTTATCTACTCCGCTACTGAGCCTTGATAGCCAAATGCTTGTGCAGGTGGATCAATTGCATTCCTAAGCAACAATGGGAAGATACAAGCAAACAATACAAAGTGAGTTAATTAATTTGTTCGATCCTTCTACAGGCTGTGAATTGAGAAAACGACATATAAATTCGTCTACATAATTATGAATGAACTGTCTTATCGAATAGATTCTCAGGAAGAAACATACTGTTCCTGGCTATGGTTGGAGATTTAGAGTTATAATTAGGGGTTGTGCACCTAGGATTAAGACTAAAGGCTTAAGATTAGGGATATAAGAAATAGATTAGGACTTAGGGATAAAGGTAATTCAAGTGTTATATACAATCTACATGGAAAAAATCGTTTGCTATGTTTTGCATAATCGTTTCTACACTATGATAGCAAATAATAGTTTATCGTTGTTGTTTTAGATGTTCTCATGTCTACTTACTGAGTACCTGTAAAATACGTTTGCTGTTTATTCTGCATGAGTCTTAATAGATGACAATTCACAACATCTTGGTTGTCCAAAAACTGTATCATAAAAATTAGAAGATTTTACACCTTCATTAGACGTTTTCCCTGGTTGGATATTGGAACATTTCAACCAATTGCTCTATTTTCTTTAGCACTTACTACTAAATTCGTATTAAGTTAAACAAGAAAGCAACTTCAGACGCTTGTGTGGAAGAAGCGCTATATATATGAGGACTTATACTAATGTATACTACTCTGTGAATTATGTTGAAACGTCCAACACCAAGTACTCTCTTAATTGAATAGTATACTGACATAATATTTAATGATATTCAGATTCTTTTCCACAGATTTTGAAAAATACTTAGTCTTATCTATTTATTGAAAAACACATTCATTTTTCATATTCTAGTTTGAGGCAGAGCAAATGCGTCTTCGTCAGAAAGAACGTGAGGTAAGTTAATGTATACAATAACGTTTCTAATAATAATAATAACATCCTGTCGATGTACGAACTGTGCATTTAACGTCATTTCCTGAGCTATGACGAACTGATTATAATCATCTACAACTAGGGAAAATAAAACTGAAACAGAGAGCACAGAACAATAAAAGTGATAATTACTACACTAGATCAGCCAAGTCTATTATAATACATAGGCCATGTTATCTTGTGATGAAGTGTTGTGCTAAAAATTATCCAGGTTAGCTAGTTACCAGGGACGGTGTTAGTGTAGGGAGGTTTACTTAATAGGCTCAGTAATAAAACCGTTAAACATCCAAAGTTCTTATAATCTTACTCGTGGAATGGGATATACTTACAAGTTCAAGCACATTCCAGTCATTTTTGTAGAGGTAAGCATCAATACAGAAAACAAAGGATGATGTATTATTAGTCAACTATGCAATTTACAAACTTACAGTTAATCATTAACTATTAAGAGACGAAGGATTGACGAGACTATAATTTATGGACGAACCAATCAGATTTAGGATAACAGGTCTTGATTTTAGCACGAAATTCATTCATCCAGTTAACTAAATAGCGTTTCAGTATTTTAGCTGATGTCATTTCATGATGAAAGCCCTAAATCTAATTCCTTACCCTAACCATCAACCTTAAATCATAATCTTTACTCTTCACACAGGTTTATAACCCTGATTTAGCCCAATCAAGTAGGTGGGGATTTTGAAGGTCGATTTGGCGTTGCTCAAAAGATATCCATAAATTACAGTCCCACCAAATGATTACTAAGATGGGTTCATTTTTCACCGTTTTCAAAGTCTTAAGATTAGTATTACTCCACACACTATTATTTTAATCTCATCCTTTTCTTATGAACTGCATCTCCTGATGTTGCTCCAATTCCTTGTAGATCAGACCTTAAGGTCGAAAGATTCGGGTGTGCCCCCCTAAGAAAACCACCTGCTTCGATATGGGCACAGGGGCACTATCACATTCGACACACAAATCAAGTGACTTGTGTCGTGCATATGTATTCGGTGACTCTTTGTACCAATATTTATGTGTTCAAATAAATAGTAAATAAATAAAATACATCCTCATTTTGTAACTACCACTGATATCAATTATTTGACGCTCCACATCTTGTCAGTTTTCCCTTACTGTTTTGATTAGAATCATGACAATTTCAACCAACCTCTATTATTAATGCCAAGTTAGACTTTGTTTATAATTGACTCATGGGTCGTAAAGCAATATTATTCAGTGATTTTTTATAGTAAGAACATGAAAAAGTCAATCGATCACGAAATAGTTACATTACCAATAAGGATTCGACTAAACTAACTAATGACGAAGCTGGCAATTCAAGTACAGTTTTGTTACAGTTTATTAGAAGTGTCAAAGAATATTGACTAATTAGGCATCATGTGGCGTAAAGTCCTTCAGTATCTATGTCGTACGATTAACAGCCTGATCCTTTTGTTATGTTATGCCGTTTTCTGGAAGATTAATCAATAACTAGCTGGTTCTTGATTAAAGTTATTCTAAAGCATAATATTTCAAAATATATTCTCTTGTCAAAAAATAACTATTGTTAATTATGACTAATAATTGTTTTATTCTTCATCAATCTAGTCTTTTACATTCATCATTAGTTGTAATATTAGATAGGTTAATTAGATGATCAATTCTCATTGTAAAACATGGTTCTTTTCATTCCTTATCAGAAAGTATCTTATTACATATAAACCAAGATCAAGAAATCAATCTGTAAATTTGTACATATATACGTCTAGAGATAATGTAAATGGCAAAACAGTTGTTTAAACATTTTTAGCTATTATTCGTTTATTATCGATTAGGTGCGTATGAAAAGTATACTGAGTGTTTCATCCGAATTATATATTTTTTTCTCCTATCACAGTGTCATCTGAATTCGAATAAGTCATCATTATGCAGACAGTAATGGAAATACTAGCATTTAGTTAATATATATATATAACACAATTGACTAAATCGTTGTGATCGATCATGGCAGTCGAAAGAAACATACGAATAATAGGGTACAATGTAGTAATGTTTTCTGTCAATCGGTGTTTATGTATGCTAATAATATTTAACAAAGACTACTTAAAGTTTTTTGTGTTTTCAGAACACTACTTTCATTTGTTTTTCTTTTCTTTTCTTCATGTCACTGTGTAACATACATGTTCTACCATTGTTTTGTTGTCTCTGTAAAATAAATTTGAAAAGTATAAGAGATAGCAACTTAAGAAAATGTCATGCATCTTGATCTGAGTGTGAAAAAATTAAAGATTTTTTGCTGAAATTTATACAGTTTTTTTATTCACAATGCAGACTTTTTTACACACAAAATTATTTGAAGAGAAACGAGTGAAAAATAAAAAGCGAGATAGGTGCAAGACGATGATGAATATAAATAAACTATGTTATCATTATGGAAATATAACAAATGCTGCTGTAAAAACTGATTTGTGAGTATGTTAGATGTTGGTAGAGTTTTTTCCTCTGAGCTGTATGGTTTGGCAGTGGAGCTTTCATCGTTATTCTGAACAACATCATCAGCACAAACCGCAGGTGATGATGTCGTTCAGAATAACGATGAAAGCTAAAGGGCCAAACCATCCAGCTTAGAGAACAAAAATTCATCAGAATCATGCACCTGAGCTAGAAATCTTCTGCACCATCTCAAATATTAGTTAGTTGTAGGCGATTGGCAAGACAATATACATCATTTGTCCATGATCTACTAAAATCTTGGGTCACTTAGTATATTGACCACCATAATTGAGAGTATTTAATCGGCACTAATGAATCGATGTGAAGTCGACTACTAATCAATAAGCAGTTAGAATTAAACTTGATACAACACTTTATGCAGCAATGACTGTGTTTGACTGAATTAATTGGAAGAAAACAGGTTATATATATATATATATAAGAATACGAGTTCTTACCCATTTGTTTCGTTTAATAGTTTATGTAAATAAGTTTAGTTTGGTGATATCATGTATCACACAACTGCGCCAACTAGCAAAATGGTGAAAACAAAGAAGACACTGTACAGTTAATTGATCATAGTTTAAGGCTTCTTAAACGTCTACTGTCATGACTGTGCTAGAGATATAGGTCCATAACGTAAACCTAACTTGAATTGAGCTCACCTCCACAAATTAATTGAATCAGTAATGTGCTCAGTAGTGACATGCTTTGAAATTATCTCATGAACCTTCAATGAAAAATTATACATGACATATAATCAAGTTGGGAATGAGACAGTTATCTACTGAATGTGACAAATAGGTATCGTTTGGTTGAACATTAAAATGAACAATAATGGATTCCAACTTAGTAACCTAAAAGTAATATACCTGAACTGAAATCTAAAACTTCATCGTTGATGCTAATGAATATGCAATCAAGTAATAATACATAACAGTTATTCAGCGTTTCTTTTTGAATCATTCTCTAGCTGATAATGTTCCTCGTCATAATCTACTGTTTTGGTACATTATTCTTTATTAAAAAGATTTAGTTCAAAACGTAAATCTTCAAATATTTTTCTTGTATTTACATCATTCATTACTTACCGATTTTTCTATGTAACACTATGTCCGATCATCTTGTTGAATAAAAAACAAGAAGCAAACCAACTATTTATTCCTTTTATTAGTTTACTAATCTATAAAAGCTGACATTTAAAATGGTTATTTGTTTATGCAAATACAGTTGGAAATATTCTTTCTATACTGTTTTCTCTTTTTTTTTCCTATTTGGCACCATTTACTATTTGGTATGTAAATAACATATCATTTGTTTTGAATTTGAAAAATATTGTTTTTATATATTCTAAAGAGGAAAGTTTACTTGTCTTTGATAAATAAAAGAAAACACTATCAATTTGTGTAAAATATCTATTAACTTCTTCATGAATTTAAGGTATAGTGGTTTCATTACTTTTTTATTGTTAATAACATCTGTTGTTTTAGTATTTGTTATGTTATCATATGAAGGTTGGTGTATTTTATTATAATTAATACTTGGAAGAAACGGCCGTCCAGTGCTTCCAGGTTTTCCATGGTGGTCTAACTTCAATTGACTCATGATTTCAACTATTGAAATTAATAATGTTGTAACTATGGTAGTGATGCGTGTGAATGACTGTACTCTTGGATTAGAGTGATGAACAAAATAATCCTTATGAGAATCTCGATAGATTTCTATTTTTCTTAATATTGATTTGTTATATCAGTAAAACGTTCTGTTCATCGTGAAGTGTAAATCTTAATCATTTTAGGATTATACATGTGATGAACAGTAACATTGAATAGACATTTGTTTTAATATTTTGTTATTTATATTAATTTTTTAAAATATTGTTGAAATTTCTCTAGGAAATGGAAAAACATCAGGAAAAATTAAGATTAGAACGTGAAGAGGTAAGAGCATGCATTTTATTGATTTTCGAATTTGACGAATTATAATCAAGAGTTGTTGTATTGTTTCTTATCAGTTTGCTTATGTTTTCTAATTGAATGAGAAATTATTATTATGATTAATAAACCAAGGCTATATTTCTCATAATGAGTGAAAGATGAACCAGTGTACCATTTGCTTACATAAGTATATACTTTTTTCGTCATTACTTAATGAAACAGTGAAGGGCGGGGTCAAATATCATGACATATTGCACATCTATTTTAGTTGGAAATACTGATAAATACTAGATTCAAATTATTAGTAAACTTACTCTACTATATCTGACTCGTAATCTAAAAACTTTGGAGATGACCCTGCATTGGCTCGTCAATTTTTATTGTCGAAGACTCTGGAACGACGATCAAACAACAGTTCACCACTTGTTATTATTTAATAGTTCGTAGAATGACGTCATTTCACAATGAAATTTATTTCCAATTCATTTCATGTTTTGAAAAATCCTTTGAAAATGTATCTTGTGAACCATTTTAAGTACTCGAAGTTTATTCATGATCTTGGTTTAAGTAAAATTTGCTGCTTACTAAATGATTAAGTGGCAGAATCCAACGTGATAAAACAATCATTCACTTGAAGTAGCATGGCTAATTTCATACTTATTTATCTAAATGTTAATAGAGACACTTTCACAGAGCTATCGGTCATAATCACATTGTGTGTAGAAAAATATATCAAATGTCCAATGTTACTTGATTATATTATGAGTATAGCCATGATCTTTCATACATTCATTTATAATTCTTATAGATTTATTAATAATTATATACATATCTGGATCAGATTCCTAAATATGGGGTAACAGGTTAGTGATCAAGGAGTTCATCTCTCAGCCAATAGGTAACTTGTACAAACCTTGCTCCACTAACTCCGGTTCGAGCAACCAATTAGTATCATTAGTTATCACATTTAAAAGCTGGTTCATACCCAAGCACCTGGTAAATGAATAAACTTAAATCTAAAATTTAGATTATTAAGTAAAGACATACAAATTAAGTGAATGAATAACTCAATTATAAAGTCATTGTTTATACATATCCTGCATGATCATAATCTTCAGTATAGATAACGAACGACGGTCTTCCACCAGTAGATTCAAGGTCCGAATTCTCCACCATCTGTCTCGTTCTAGAAAGCCGGACACCATAAGTCTCCATAATAGTGTGGTTCGAAGCTAAGCGTATATACATTTACTTGTTAAGTGAGTTGCATAGAGCACATATACTGAAGAAGGACAATAAAATATGGTTATCTTTCATAACGTGCTACTGATCACGGTGTAGACAGATATTTTACATATAGACCTGTTTTGTTTTCCCTTTAAGTGGAAAACATTCATTTGTACAATAATTAGTTTTTTTTCTTTTTTCCTTTCTAAAAGGTTAAAAAAGCCAGAGCGTCCAAAAGACATGTGAGTATTGAATGAATGTCTTCTCTAAAATTAATTCTCATTTAATATTTCAATAATAATGAGATAGCAATCTTTACAATTAGTACAAATTTCCCTACTAAGGGACTTTGAATTCAGTGAACTACTTGTTTCTGATAAACGTATTATTTTTTGATCAGTTATGTAAACAGGTTAATCGTACTATTAGGTGTAAATTCATTCAGATAACCGACTTTAAACGGCATTTTTCTCATAAATATACTTTTGATACAGTCTAGATAGTGTAACTAAAATAGAACGAAAATGATATGAACTGGACAGTAACATTGGTCAATGCAAAATGATTGAAAACTAGATTTCGTATTTACTGGAATTGGTCAGTAGAACACATCTCTAATTTTGAATCGAAATGATATATTATGGGAAATTTTAGAAAAGCATGCGCTTGTCAGCATGGTAATCGAACGTACTGCCAGTGAGTAAGTATAAAAAATGTACTAATTCAAAAAAAAACTGTAGATACTGGTATAACATAATTAAAGACAATAGAATAAACACTTTCACTTTGATCATTACTCTTTGGAATCAATGATGAAAGGGTCTCAAGAATTAAGATCATATCCAAAAGAATTAATTATGTCACAATTAAGTCATATTACAAAGATAAGAAAAGGAAAATTACACAAAAAGCTAGAAAAACCAATAATAACCATCTGAATAGATTTTCAAATCTAATCAGTCAATACATTAATTACGTCAAATGAATATTTTATGGAGAGTTTCCAAGAATACCTTAATTATTAGTGATCAATCAACACAGATTTCACCTAAATAGAAAGATTTTTAAAATTAGTTACTATCCATTTGTATTGTATAACTTTTGAATGTCATTGAAAATGTCGAAATTAATTTCCGACTTTCTAAGCTCTTTTACATACAGATTTTATGAAATGATCAATTTTTACATTCCAGTTAAACAGAATACAGAAATATATAATCAGATCTTTTATCACAATTGAATGTAGAATTATAAATTTCTGTATGAATTATCATTTACTTTAATTTTTTTTTTCATTATTACTAGTACCAGTAATTTAATACACAAGATATTGATTATCTTTAAGGGAATTGTTTGAACTTGGAATTTTATTACCGTTTTATGATAATAACTACCTTTATAAATTTATGTTGTTAAAATAAATTATTCATTTTACCTGTGTACAGATGACTTACACTTTGTATGAGATTATTTAATATTTGACAGTTTATGAGGAGGGAAATCTAATATCGAAATATTATAAACAAAAATGAATAGTGGCTAGCAGTGAAATCCAGGACGAGCGTTTCGTCCCATTTGGGACTCGTCAGCTGGATGTATTTGAATCGCAGAACTGACGTTCGCTCCGGGACTCGAACCCAGTGCCGTTCGCTTCAAACACCATCAAGTTATCCACTTAGCTGCTGAGTCCTGATAGCCACCTGCTTGTGCAATTGGGTGAAGTTTAAATTCAATTGGTGTTGTTTTACTCGTATCTTCCCGTTGTTAGGACTGCGATTGATCAGGTGACTTGAAGGAGCTCAGTAGCTAAGTGGATAACCTGATAGCGTTTGAAGCGAAAGGTTCTGGGTTTGAGCGCCACAATGTGCGTCAACTCTGTGATGCAGGTACATCAAGCTGACGAGTCCAAAATAGAACGAAGCGCGCGTCCTGGACTCTATTGCTAGCCACTATCCATCTTTGCTTAAAAAGATTGTGAATTAAGGCATCCACATAAAATACACATATGCTAACATGAAACTAATCAATTGTAGTCCTAAGTAACAATCAGAAGATACAAGTAAATCAACATCAAGTGAATTCGAATTATTATTCTTACCGAAGTTTAACTTGATGATTTTAAGTAAATTAAGTATTAGGTAAATTGATGATGTCCTAGTGTGTATCAATTAGAATGTCTGATGTTCTATGACGTAAGTCAATTATTCAAAGAGTAACCGATGATTATTTTAAAATAGGAAAAAGGAGACTTAAAGTATGTCATTACAAGTTAGAACCCTTAATTTCCACTCATTAGAATATCACAAATAGATCATTGCTTTTATTATTAAAATATTTAGCACGGTGATATTTATAAACGAGAATAAACTGGGTTCATTTTGAAAAGGAAAATTAATGTCGTAAAGATCATCTTTTCATGATTATTGAAAAGATAATGTAGAAAGATTACACATCATAGTTACCAGTATCAAATTCTATTGGAGGAAGAAAACTTCACTTTACTTAAAATTGTGGTTTAATTTTTCAGTTCCATTATTTTCCAAACTAAAAAACAGCAGGTTTTTTTCTTCTCGTTACATTTAAAAACCTACACACCATAAAATATGAATTCTATGCGATAAAAATATGATAAAGAGATAAATGACTTTAATCGTTTCCTTTTTTTCTTTTTCAATGATCCAAGTCAAAAGTTGCTGAAGAACAAGAGTCCAGTAAAAATAATCAAGTAAGACGAATGGATTATCATAAACAAGGTCTTGGAGGCTTAAGTAAAGAGCGTAGAAAAAAATTGAAGGTTAGTCGATAAAAAGAAGTTTTATTAACTTAGTTTAAAGAAAATTACTATTATGGATGTATAAAAATCGTTTCAACGGTTATTTTTACCTGGAAAATAAAGCAATATAAAATAGTGATAAATTTTGAACTACTTACACAAATTAAAAGTAGCTGATATTCATATACAAAATAAATGAAACTACATATACTGGGATTATTTCAACATTAAATTACAATAGACTTCAAACAATGACAAAGTTTGTAATAGATTTGAATGTAGCTATGTGTTTTTAAAAAAGTGAAAATAGCATATTTGAAATAGTCAAAAGAATAAGTTCAAATCATCTTAAATTTAGAAATTATATACATTATCAAAATCTCATAACGAGAATTCGTACCAGTAAGTAATTTCAATGTAATGAACGAAGACATAGGTAGAATAAACTAATTTGGTTTATTAAGCAAGAGTACACACTACATTTGTAAAATATAAAAACAATACATTCAATACACCATTTGCACATCTTCAATGAATTGCCGCTTACAAGCTCCATGGTTCTTAAGTTCCTGTTGCTACTTAGACTGCTTTTGCTTTTATTTCTCTTTTCATATTCCTCTTTTGTTACAAAGAAACCTATTTCCAAATCTTGACGTTATTATTTTTACCATATGAGTTTATGAAATCACTTTAAAAGAGTAAAATCATTTATTTATTTAACTTAACAACAATATTTCCGATTTATCCGAATAATTCCATAATATAATCATTACATTTTGGAGATTTAAGCAACTATCCAATTGAGATTTGCAAAAAAGAAATTTGTTTCCCATGGTTTTCTGTTTATTAGATAAAAGAGATAATCTGGAAATTGTAATGAAATATAAATTAAGGAAATGTATAGATAGTATAAAATAGTTGTACCACATTACTTATCAAAAAATACATCTGCTTTATTAATGATTAACCCAATTGACTATACTTTTGCCACTGAATAAAAATAGAGAGAATTCAGTGAAATGTATTGCTTAAGTAAATGATTTCATTGAAAAGAAAATTTTCACCGTTCAAATTTCTTAGTTTCAAATACTTTTTTATTTATTTTTAAGGAAATGATCTTGCAAAAGGCAAAAAATGAACTTCTTGAAGAAAGAAGAAAAGAACTTCGTAACCGTGAAGATCACATCAAGAAACAAGCTCCTCCATTCGACATTGATGGTTTAAATCAGAGTGAGAAAGTTTTTCAAGTAACATTACGGTTATTTAATGTAGTCAGAAACATGATTACTTTAATTTGAACAAAATGAAAGTTATAATTAGACTACAGAAATTAAATTTGATTAAGAGGAAGATGTTGGTTGAATTTGGAAAGGGGCTTGTGAGTTACTAATCAGTCTCGTCTTATGTATGAACCACAAGCTTTGATTGTTGATGAAGTTTAAATTTTGATTCAGTTCCTGAGCGTCATCGTTAAATCGTTTTTAATTTTTTAGTTAAAAAATTATGACATAAAGCAATAATTATAGTGTTAAAAGAGGGCTTAAACAAAATAACAGATACACAATGTAATTTCTTATTTTGTGAGGTAGTTAATGAATGACTGAAAAAGCTGTTAAACTCCTTTCAGTATACCATCACGATCAAATCACACCAAGTCTCTAAGTAATGGATGGAAAAATCGGATCACTAATGAGACAGAAAGCAGAGCACGTAAATTACTAGTATATCTAATAATGATCTGAATTGTGACATGGAGAGCACTAATTTAGATTTCTATTTAAAACCATACCAGGAAGTTGATTTATCCAGAATAGGAAACGCTGGAAGAGAACATATCATGTATTAATGCTATCAACTTCTGTCGGAGAGCCCATAGTTACTGCACGTGTATTTGCAATATTTATCAAATCACAAATCCAAGAGAGTGATAGCAATAATATCAGGTGTAGAACAGTGTGGAAGTGGCTAAAAGACTGATGAGGTTGTGGATTACATCGACTGACATGAGTTAAATATCCTCATCCACTCACCACCCTAGTTCGAAAAGTTAAATTTTTATTAAAAAGGTTGAAGAAAAACTACACGTGAGCAGAGTAAGATATGGAATCGATTAGTCATGTTCCTGATTGGTATCAACCATGATGAAAAATTTAAGTTTCCCAATCCAAATTATCAAGGTAAATTTGATCTGCGGATGAAAATTCCTACATAACTCAAGAATTACTTTCAGTATCATAGATGAAATCATCCTTAATGACTCCTTTTATCATTGTCTGCTCTCCACTTTTTCTCCTTATTTCCTGATCACTTTTAATGTTGTTGTTTACATAGTTATACGTTCCTCTATATTCACTTCTTGTAGTGGTGATATAAAAAGCAATGGCCCGTACAGATATATATTTGCGCTATCAGTATGGGATTATGTATGCCTTTACATATTATCGAGATGCAGAATTAAACTAAGTTTTATTACCATTGGTAATCTGGAGGCACTGAATAGCTGTTTCGTTCCAGTATATGACCACCAAGAAGCGCAAACACATGACCCCATCTATAGAGACTAAACACAGAACCTCTAGACCATTTAGCCGAGGTCCAATGGTGTAAAAGCTTAGTTGTCAACTAATTCACGATATTGTGCAACTATCCTCCACTGCCTTGAGCATCTTTCTCACACTCCATATAGTTGAATTTCTCTTAAGATTTCCGTTCAAAGTGTTCGCTAACGTTGATTAGACAAATAATAAAATGGATTGCTTCCTAAGTCAAAAGATTTTACATATGTAGGCTCCATCTTGCATAAACTATTCTCCACAGAGTTATATTTGAAGCTTAAAAGACTTTTAAGTCGTAAATTCCTTAAGAACCCCGTCCGAATAAGAAGCTTTCAAGTTATCCAGTGGTTATCTAGACGATATTAACTTTCAATAAAAGCTTACCAAAGTTATCACGATCTTATTTTATCAGAAATGTAGTGAACTAAAACATATAATAATCCACTTAAATGTCTCTTCTACTGAATTCACCAATGTACTGAATATGTGAATATATTTTTTTACATTAAGTGCAACTTGAAGAAAAGGTGAAGTTGTGGTACGAACACGCTAAACAATTGGAATCACAAAAATACGAATGGGAACAAAGATTACGCAAACAAGATGAAGAAGTAAGTCAATGGATGGGATTTTAAGTCATTTTCAAAAGTATATTATATATGTATATATATCAAAGTGAGCGCTTTAACTTTTCGAAGGGAGATCAAGATCATACAAACTAGAGCATTTTGTGGATACCTTCCCTTGTGATTTGACGTCATCCGGTATATTATCGAATCCTTCGATGAATTTACCGACGAATACAAACTGTGAGTAAACTGTGTCCACAACTTACCAATGAGTGGTCCAAAGTATCTAACGTAGATTTTAACAAAGATATACTGAGAGGCGGAAAAATACTCGTTGATGACTTCGTAGACTAATAGTCTTTGAATAATCATGAGAGGGATTCATATCCATACCTATAAAGCAAATGGCACGTTTAAAACATGGATTGATCGTATAGTTAAATCCATATTCATTAAATATTTTACAAGAGTTCTGATGAATTTATAATCATGTAAACCAAAAAGAAATTTTACGTCTTGAAAAATATTTCTATGAAGACATTTATGCTCCAATCGGTATAGACTAACTTGATGGGAATGATAATAACGAGATGCTGAAGTTAGTCATATTAAAATGACGGAGTAGAAAAAAATCAACATATTCTACAGATCATATCGATTGATTTTAAAACAGTTAAACACATTTTCATAAGAACGTTTCAGTACGAGAAAGTAGGCTCTTTGAAAGCTTCCAGTTCAAATGGAATGAGATTTTGAAAAATTGATGTTGTTTACATCTAAATTACAATGAATAAGAGCGTTTATCGACTGAGTGGAAAGCTCATTTAAATCGGATAATTTTAATGGATAAGCAGAAGGAGTTGCATTATGCTCAGTCGTAGTTGAATTGATAATACTTACATCACAAGAGTGTAGTACTATAAATTATTATGATTTTTATACCTATTTTTGAGGAAATCACTTTTTGAATTAACTTAAAAATTCAGCATTACTTAAAAAAGTTATACTGATTCCCCATATAAATTAGTGTATAAAATCAAGTTACTCAAATGGCTTTTCTTTTCCTTATTTATGCAGATTAATGAACTGACAGCTCAGTTATGCTCAATTAAAGGACACTTGTAAGTAAATATTTGGTTAATCATAAGTTCCAAATATACAGAGTATCAGGTAAATTTCCGGGAATGTTGCTGAATTACAATTTGATTAAATAAGAATTTATTACTACCTAGTACATATTGAAAACACGATTGATTACATTAAAGTGCAGATATTTGGAACCAAACTATAAATATCCTGTGGTTGAATCAAAATTATCGTCAGAACATCAAATAAACTTATTGGATGAACAGGTTAATACTCCAAAAATATGCCTCTTAATTTGTCCATACCTGCCAGGAAATGAAAACTAGGATAACTTACTTATTTATGCCTGTTACTTCTCGAGGAGGAGCACAGACCACCCACCGGCATTCTCCACCCAACTGTCCTCGGCAATTCTTTTCAGTTGCTATTTATTCTTTTGATGTCTGCTCCCAATTTCAACGCAGTGTATTCCTTGACCTTCCTCTTTTTCGTTTCCCTTCGGGATTCCAATTTAGCGTTTGCATCATGATGCAGTTGGATGATTTCCGCAGTGCACGTCCTATTCACTTCCATCGTCTTTTCTTAGTTACCTCCTTAGCTGAAAAATAGTTTGTTCGCTCCCACAATAGGCTGTTGCTGATGGTATCCAGCCAATGGGCATTCAGCATCTTACGTAGACAATTGTTTGTAAATACTTTTTCCTTTTCAATAATAGTATTGAAGATTCCCACTTAGATATCAGTCGATAGTTGATTTGAGTTCTATTTCTTCTTCAACTGTAGAAATGCTGTCTTTGCTATGCCACTTCTCTCCCTTACATTTGCATCGGATCCTCCACGTTCATCAATGCCATCCAGATACGTGGAACTTTCCACCTCTTCCATAGTTTCTACATCAAGTGTGTTGTATTCGAGGATCTCATTTTTTCCCTTGTATATGTTGAAGCCTACTGCAGCTACACTGCCTATCTCCATTTGCATTTGTTGCTATGTATAGGACAAAAGAGCTACGTTATCTGCGAAGTCCGAATCGTCCATCTGCATCCAATTTGTTCAGTGCTTTTCCTGAAATGTCGAGGTCTTCATGATCCAATTGATCACCAGAGAAAAGACAAACAGCGAGGGTGAACAAACTTATCCGACTCCAGTCCTCACTTGGAATGCATCTGCCTCAATGCACAACTTTGCACTGTAGTCCGTTGTATGAACTCCGAGAGGTGTTGACGATCATTTCAGATACACCGTGATGTCGAAGCTTCAGTAAGGTTCTCCAATCCACGCTGTCGAACTCCATCTCACAGGCAAGGAGTTTGGTGTATAATGATCAGTTCCATTCAATTGATTGTCTAACAATAAACTGTGGTGTCATGATTTTGTCAGTACACAGTCGATGCTTACGGAATCCGGACTGTTGATCTCGAAGGTACTGAATCTTTCATCGGGTTCGGTAACACTCTGTTGAAAAATTTTCCTAGCACTGATAGTAGTGTGATGCTTCTGTAGTTTTCACATTCGCTCATATCTCTTTTCTTTGGTATCTTGGTGCGATATCATTCTTTCCAGCTTACCGGCACTTGTTCTTCTCCACAAATCTTCCTGAATAAAGTTTGAAGCGTTTGCAGTTTCTTCTATATCTGACTTCAAAGCTTCGACTAGGTCCTGCTGCTTTCCCACTCTTGACTCGTCTTATGGCCATGCTAAATGTTTTATCGTTGGTGAAGCGACATTCATAGGGAGGTCTGCGCGTGCCGCATCGATGTCCGGTATGTTCAGTTAGGCTGGTTTATTCAAGTGTTCTTCATAGTGCTCTACACACCTTTTCCGTTGTTCATGAATCCCAGCGATTGACCTGCCTTGTTTTCTCTTGACTAGTTGCTCTGGTTTACCATATTTCCTTCCTAGTTTATTCGTGGTATTATTTAGCTACTTCACATTTCCTTCTCCTGCAGTTTTTTTTCCGCCGTCATTGTTAGATCTTCTAAGCATTTATGCATGTCGGCTTGTACCTCTGTGTATTCGGTCTTTGCCTTGGCTTTCTCTACTCTTGTTCAACTGTTGCGAATTTCTGTTTTATTGTTCTTCCTTTCTTGAATTCTATCTAGGGTCTCGATAAAGATTTAATCCTCATGATGATGCTTCTTAAGGCCCAGAGCTTCCTGATACTTCTTCGATCTCTTTCCGGTCGTTTTCTATAGTAATTTCCTCTACTTTGAGTAGATCTTGTAAGGCTTAGAACCAGCTATTCAAAGCTATCTTGTATTCGTTGATTTTTTCAGTATTTTGAACGAAGGCTGTATCAAACTGTTTTTTATCATGTTTCTCCAGTGCTTCTTTAGCTTTAGTTTCATCTTGGCAACCACCAGGAGGCTATCTGAATCGATGTCAGCCCTTCTCCTAGTTCTCACGTCTTCCACTGACCTCCTGAATTTTTTACTGATGCAAATATGAAAGATCTGGTTCTCTGTAGTGTGATTCGGTGAAAAGCATGTAGCTATGTGGTTGCGTTTGGTGAAGAATATAGTGCTACCTATAACCATTTTGTTGAATGCATATAAATTTGCAAATATGTCATTCTCGTTTCTTTCTCCCAGTCAGTTCATATCGTTCCATGATATCTTCACATTCGGGCCTTGGCATCTAAGTTTCCCATCAGAATGGTCACATCGTTTCGTGGGCACTTCACTAAGGTCGATTGCAGCCTCTCCTAAAGCTGGTCTTTATCTTCATCGCGATCGCTGGTGGGTGCACGGCACTGGACAAGTTTATTGTGATTCCCTCCTTTGTTTTGAAGAATGCTTTCATGATCCTGGATGCATGAGATTCCCATCCTATAAGTGCTTTTCGTGCTTTTTTGGAGAAGCATCAGTGCAACTCCTTCTGTGTATGACGCGTTTGTCATGATCAGAGTGCAACGCCAACTCCTCCGATGCTAATTTTTTTCTGTTCAGCTTGGATTTAATGTGTTTCACGTGTTCGGATTACCGACAAATTGTATCTCCTCATTTCCGTAGCTATTCGACTGGTCCTCCCGGTCTATCACATTATCCGGATATTTCATGTACCTATGTTAATCGTTGCTCTGGTTGATAGAAAGAGCATAGGCCTCATGGCTTCCGAAGAATCTCAGTATTCACAATAAGGCATCATAATTCTTCTAAATGAAGATCCTTTAACTCTCAGATCAGAATTTAAATCACTTATTCTGGATAGCATTTTTTTCTATGTGATGGATTCGTTAACCCTATGCCCAACTCTCCTCCTTTACCCAGGTTTGGGATCAGCAGTGACTCTAGGATGTTTGTTAACATTAAGTGTATTCTGAATCGAATAATATTAATTGTGCTTCATTAACAACACTAGTACTTGGAGATAGTCACTACTGAAAACTGAAATTAGTTGGAGGACCACTGAGAACCACAAGGTACTGAAGAACTTCGTAATTTTTATCGCATCATGTACTCACGAAGAAAAAATAACAGCGAGCTATTTTGGGAGGTTTTATAGAGAAAAGAATGACTCAAGAACTAATAAACCGGTAACCAACGGTCTACATTGCTAATTTCAATCAATTTATGATATACTAATATCCTTATTGAACCTTATTATTCTTCAACTTCGTTGATGACTCTACAGACTAAGGGTTTTTCCTAAGACTTCAGATGTTCCATGAGGCTAGTTGATAGTAAGTACAAGATTAATAATAAGCCAGGTAGATTTGTAAAGATTTTGTATAGTTTGAAGACAATAATTATCAAGAACTGATATCAGCTAAATAATTCATTAGTCTTTTCAAAAGTATATCAGTAAAGTCTTAAAACGTAAACCATAGATACAGCGCACTAAATGTTGGTTTTCAAACATAAATAAATTTCCAATGCTTACTAAATAAATCAGGTTATCTCTCTACGCAGTAACACGTAATTTTATTTATTTGTTCTTATCAACTACCGTTTTTAGTAAAAATTAGTAGCTAGCTATTATTTTCCTCTCTTATTTCTATTTCATCTTATCAATTTACAAAATAATAAACTTCTATTTAATGTATCAAGTCAAAAACCAATTCTTCGTAAAGTTGCTAAACCAATGTCAACGGATAGATTACGCGCGATGAGTGCCGCACCAAATTTCATGCCCAAAACTGGGCATAAAAATCCCGTAGAAATGAAGAGAAAACTGTCGGATGATAGTAATCAGGGTGTAGTAAGTTATATTTTTCACACATGTATGTATAAACAACTAGGGTGAATTGAATTTCCAGTCGCTTAGCACACAGCAATAGTAATATTTCTTGGTAAAAAGGCTGAACACTATGGTTTTTTTAGAATGTTTAACTGTATAACCTTGCATTGTTAAGTTATTGATATGTTTCATACTAACGGCAATAAATCCTGTTTCGATATTAGGATACTACAGCTGTCCTCTTTTATTGCTAGCCTTGGATATTCTAAAATATTTATTGTCAATGATTAGAGATTATTGGCCATTCGAATCCATTCATTTATGCACATCGTATGAAAAGAGATAGTTACATAGAACTGAGACAGTTGGATGTTATAATAAACAAAATACACTGAATTAATTAATACAATGGAAATTTGACTGCAAGTCAAATGAACGAAGAACACACTACACCAATATATGATCTTACGTTGTATTTCTTCCTAATAAATTGTGTTTGGAGGTATAACGTTTCAAATAGCTGTAAGTGATCATCCGAATAATACTGAATCGTAAAAGACAAGTGCATTGGACTTCCTCATAGAGTAGTTGAAAATGTGCTTTTGAAAACTGCGCTAAGCTTGAAAGGACGAATTAATAATTAAAATATAGTGGAAAGTAATACGAAAATGCATTCAACTACTAGTAGTGGAAAAGTTCAGATATAGACGACACAATTCTAAATGAAAGAATGAATAAATGGAATAAAAAATGTATAAGACAATTTTAGAAAGACTAAGAGTGAATGTATCTAAGTTGTGTCACTCAAGATTTCCAAAATATAGAATATTACATAGTCGAAACTAGTTTAATTTCTTAATTTATTAGATTCTTTCTTTTTATGACAATAGAAATCAAATTTGAATGGGACCGGTGGTGTATTCGCGAAAAGTTGATGAGAAATTAATGCAAGAAGAACTATTTCAAAATAGTGATGAATGAAAACCGATATATATATATATATATATATATATATATATCTTATCTGCTATTCGTTTACCTTATTGTAAGTCAGACAAAAGTAACAACCATAAAAACAACAATAATATTGCACTCATTTCTCTATCTTCCCTTTATTATACATTTTTCTCCAGAGCAGAAAAAACACCTACAAATTATTCACATGAGCATGTATTGTAACTTTTAAATTGTAGAAATTATAGAGAATCCATCATATAAGGCTACCTATATACCAGAGAAAATGATTGTAATTTTAACTTTCCTTTTTCTATTTTATAATTTCCATTCAAATGTTGTGATTGAATAACTACATAAACACTTATTTTTTGTCATTTTAGAGACTATCAACATCATTTACTTTATTCTTTACTCACATACTTTGTGAAATACTTCAATTATTTTACCAACAACCCTTTGATTAACTTTATTCACGCTTTCGATTAATTAAATGAATCTATAAGTATTTGTTGGTGCGATTTTAAATGATCAGTTATTTCTCAGGTGGGCTATATAATTTTAAAGTGTATATCCTTTCGTTCCTGTACCACACCTATAAACTCATAAATTCAGATTACAAGATTGTTATTAGTCCAATAGTTTTCTCCTCACCAAATGTACACTCAGTTGTTTTCCGTTTAAAAGTAAATTTAACCTTCCAACTAACAAAAGTGGTATCATTTAAAAACCAGATTATGGGAAAACAAAGATCAAATTTTAATAAATACTGCTGTAGTGTGTTACTAATTTAGTTATCGCATAAAAGTATGAATGAATATCTCAGACAGTAGTGTATCTCACTTTTTTTTAAAAAGGTCTGAATTATTTTCACAATGTAGTCGGAGTGTTAAATGGATCTCTACGAGATAGACGAATGCATAGATACATTACCGGTACGAATAATTACTGAATTGCTAAAAAACGAAAACATAGAAAACTATGGTGAACATAAATAGTTGTCTGTTAGTCATCAATGTAATGTTCTGATTTTAATACTCATCCAACTCGCACCGCTCGTAAAAGCGGTCGGAAACTTTACTCAGCATTTATTCGTCATAGTCTTATTGTCAGTCGTAAGTTGATAAAACAGAATGAACGATGGCGCAAACTCGAGTTCCCAACTTGAGTAAATACACCACTCTAACTACTGGACCTAGCGTAACTGTGTCGATCCAATTAGCAAAAGCCTACATCAGCAATACAAGAAGAAACAAATACGAAGAAAATTACAGTAACAGAAACAGCAACACTAAAAGCAATTAGAAGTGCGAACAGAATAGAAAGCACAGAGTGCTGAAATTTCTAAGATGAAGGATAATTTCATTCATAATGGAACGAGTAATTCTTGAGTTATACACCTCAATTTCCAACCACAGGTCACAGTCACTTTTTCGCAGCTTACTTCTGCAATAAATCGATGTGAGTAGTCGCCAAAAATGCGTAACATACAAATAGTGAATTTATTAGCCTATCTGAACTAGAATCTAAACAGCCTAAAAATATAAATAATGTACAGATCTACAAAATAAAACAAGTAAATTTCCCTTGTTGTGAATTATGTTGTATATGGATAGTAAGTGGTAATTTTCAACAGCCTTGACTTGATTTTGGAAATTTGTGTAGCTACTGTTCCTACATATAAGCACCAAAATTTAAACTCATCACTTTAGAGCTTTATCCGTTATATATTCCTGCTTTAACAAACACGGTAAGTTGAGGTAAACAACTAGTGATTTAAAACATGTGTAGATATAAAATCAGCCCGTCAACCAATCAGCTACAACGTAGGACCAGGCACATATATTCATCGGTCCAAGTTGCCATACCTCATTAACACAACAAGATGGACACCGGATTCATAAAAGTAGTTAATTCAGAGGTGGTAATATATAAAAGATTGCAATAAGGATATAGTACAGGAAGAAAGAATTAGTTCGTAGAAAGAAAGATATGAAGCAATTTTAATCTCTTAGTTTAAGGGAAGACAGAGAGTGTATACACCGACGCCATTGTAATCGATTCTGAGCCATGTCACCGAGTTTTCAACCATTGGTTACGATAGTCACGCGGACCCCAACCAAGTAGTCTGCATCTACCAACATGGCTCAGACTAGAAGTTAGTGACTTCAAGCACTGATGCCACGTTTTGGTTTGGCCGCCACTAACTTTCTCCCAAACATCACGAACACTGGTTAGCATTGCACGTCGTGGTAATCGGTGTTCGGACATACGTAACACGTGGCCCAACCATCTCAGTTGATGAAGATTCATAACCTCATCAACTGATTTACCATCATTCCCTAATACCCTGCGTCTAACCTCACTATTACTTACCCGGTTATCCCAGCAGACGCCAGCAATATTTCTTAGGCATCTGTGGTCAAATACTAATAGCTTACGAGTGTTTTCTACTCTTATTGGCCATGCTTCGCTGCCATGAATTAAAACACAACGAACTGCCGCGCAATATACTCATCCTTTTATTGATAGACGGATATCTCGCCTTCGCCAAAGGTGACGTAAGTTGGCAAAAGCCAAACGAGCTTTTCGAATCCGTGCTGAGATTTCGTCAGACACCAACCCATTAGAGCTGATCAGACTTCCAAGATAAGTGAAGTTGTCAACGCGTTCGACTACTTCACTCCCTATCCTTAGTTCAGGTGTTGACGCAGACCAGTCCTGTAGCAGCAGCTTGAATTTAGAGGGAGAGAGGCGCATTCCAAACATCCTGGCATTGTTGCTTAGTACTACCAAAAGACTGCATTTTATCAGCGACTTCACCAAACAGGACTATATCATCTGCGTATTCTAAGTCGATAAGTGGACCTCCTGGAAGGAGATCAATACCCGAGAACTCAGTCGACGAGAATGTTATTCCCATCAATAGGTCTATGATGAAGTTAAACAAAAATGAAGAAAGTGGACAGCCTTGACGGACACCACTTGAGGTTACAAAAGCAGATGACAGTCTGCCATAAGCTCTGACTCGACTAGTAGTGTTCGAGTAAAGAGCCTCTACGAGGTTTATGTACTTCTGAGGTGCGCCTTTCGATGACAGACACTGCCACAGAATGTCGCGGCCTACTGAGTCACATGCTGCTTTTAAGTCAAGAGAGACCACCATTGTCGGACGCCGATAAGTATGCCTATGTTCTAGAACCTGACGAATGGTGAATATGTTGTCGATGCAGCCACGACCAGGTCTGAAGCCAGCTTGGTTCTCTCGTATTTGCAGTTCACGAGTCTTAGTTAGGCGTTTGATAATTATCGAGGCTAGTATTTTAGATACCATATCTGTTAAACTAATCCCTCTGTGGTTATCACAGGATGATTTTGACCCACTCTTATATATTGGGACGATAAGTGATTGCGACCAGTCAGATAAGATAACGTCTAACTCCCAGATCTTAGCTAAAATATTAGTCAACCTAATCGTTAAACTTGGACCACCATCCTTAAAGACTTCTGGAGCCAATCCATGTGGACCAGCTGCCCTTCCTCGTTTCAGATTAGCTATAGCCTTTCGAACTTCAGCAAGAGTTGGGGGACCTACTTCAATATTCCATTCACACTGTCTGTGAATCGAGGGTAGTTGTAGAGTAGCTAAAAGCCAGCTGAAATGTTCCGCACATCGTTCTAAACGTCTGGACTGAGAGCAGATGAGGGTGTCGTCTTTTTCCGAAATAGTCTGACTTACACTTGACTTATTAATTCCAGTTTCTTTTATTAGTCTGTAGAGCTGTCTTGTGTTCCCTATAGCCGCCGCCTTTTCCATCGCTTTTGCTTTCGTTGCCCACCACTGCTCACGGTCGTCTCTTAGACTTTTGGTTCACCTAGGTCTGATTTGTTTTCGCTCTTCATCGTGTTCAGAGCCTGATGGGATGAGTTTACGAGAATCCATCACTGCAATAGACCTTGAGGAAATCCATTGGTTCTTTGTAACCCTGTGGTTTGAATCACTGATAGATGTCACTGATGTTTCCACAGCTGTTTGTATGGCTTTCCAAGCAACATATGGGTCAACCTCGTTATCCGAACTACCAAAGTGTGACCTCAGTTGTTCCTGGAACCTATTTTTGGTTTTCTCGTTACTCAATTCAGTTCTAATGGGTTTTTTACTGTGGCTTTTTTGCGTCTAGTGAGGTGCAAGCAGATGTGTGCCCGTATTAGGGCATGGTCGGAGTCCAAGCAGGTACACCAGAATGAGCGACAATCTTCTACCGACCCTCTCCAACGATGACTGATGGCAATATGGTCTATTTGAGTCCATCGTTGGTTTGGTGTAGGGGGTCGCCATGTTAGACGATGTCTCTCCTTATGCTTAAAATTTGTTTGCTAAAAATAAACGATTGTCTGAGCACAGTTGCAGCAGACGATCACCATTATCTGTTCGCTGTGCTGGAATACTAAAACACTCACCTAAATACCTTACTGTTTGGTTTAAACTACCTATCTGGGCATTAAAGTCATCTGCTACGAGTACTATGTCTGGGCGTTTAGCTTTCTGAAGAAGTTCAGATAGCTTTCTGTAAAATTCATCTTTCACTTCATCTGAGCTGCAGTCGGTGGAATAAAGCAAGGTGTGAATTTTTAGGGTCGACCTTTTCTAACCCCACCCCTCCTTGTGGGAAGGCAGCATCGCTGTCATGCTGGTTATCTGAAGGAAACACCTTACTGCAGTTACACCTCTGTACAGTCGGCATTACGACATCGCCTTCGGACCTCAGGTTTGTTGCTTTTAGTCTTACTGCTCTTCAACTGACTTGTCTGACATGGTAGGACCTTGAGGAACGGTTGATCCAGCCAGTATAGCTCGGTTGCTTCATCACAATAGGCAAGCCCGACCACCACGTCAAGGTAGCAACAACAGTCGGAGTAGATATAAAGTAGGACTATGAGATACACCACATATCAAAAAAGAAATTTTATTTCTCATTTATACCTACATATTATCAAGTGGTATCTGTAGTTGTTGAATATTGGCATTATATGTTGCAGATTTCGGCAAGCAATCACCTGTAAGACTAGAATTATTTGAATATGTTAGAGTTTCCAACACATATTGTAGGGTAATTCTTGGATACCAACAAGGATATTTTCTTAAGAGAGATTTGATATTAATATGGAAAATTTGTGCTCACTAGTGACTAGCTTCAAGATGAAACTTCTGGAGTCCTAGTGAGATGCCGTGACCGATGGAGTTCAACACGTGTCCACCGTATCCACATCAGGCGATGAATGAAGGACTGCACAAAACCATGGATTGATTGGAGTTAGGGACTTACACCGTTGGATACCGGTTCAGCGGTCTTGAGCTCAAGAGTCCACACGCGAGACCAGACGTCCGAAGTTTGAGTCTCGTGCACAGGATCATGGATCCGTGTTGATGAACCCCATACTAGGACGAAACGGCCTCCCATTACTTTCAGGTTTTCAAGGGTGGTATAGCTTAGATTGATTCGTGATTTAATATCAATTTATCTAATTACAAAGTTATCGGATTAAAAAAGGAATCTGTGAGGAACAAATGGTAGAGATAAATACTTTAAACAGAATGTCTGTGGTGTAATAGAACGAAAATGAATATGTATATGTTCCACGGACACCACTGTTCACTACCAGGCCAAATGATAACTATCTACAACAGCCAATTAAAGTTGGAATTTGAGTGTTAAATGAGAGAAACTTGCTCTGTGCTTCTTTTAGCAGTAAACATAGGCACAGCAAATACCAGTTAACAAAGGCCAGTGGTACTTACATAACCATAAATGAGAACCTAATGTATTCCTCTAAACAAATGTCGTCCACTCTGTAAACAGCGCACAGCTTGGTACTTACGACATCTCGAGAGAATTCAAAGATGAACAAACACAAGGAGTAGGAACTGTCTATACCAAATTTTCACTTTCTATTTTCGTTGAACAAAAATCACTTAGACTGATATTCAGTGAACGATGACAGATGAGTGACGAAAAAATTCTTAGAAACTATTATTTACCTCCCATAAGTGATAAGCTAAAAACGGGGAAGTTCATACTTCAGTAAGATGAAAGATATAATAGTAATTCAAATAAGTACAAAATCAATATATTTCAATCAGCTAGCTTCCAGAGCAATTTTTTGTTTCTTGCCACGAGTTTTTGACTTATCAACTGCTTTTCTTTTACTTGTCTCCTTCTCTAGTTCAGTAAATGAAAGGTCCATTGTTTCCTCTTCCGACAAATCTGTTTCAGAATCAATATCCATTAGTTCACGTTTTCTTTTGGCTATAAAATAGGATTTTAAATCATTATTGATTAAACTCCCAAATCTACCTCCTGGGGCTTCAATAAGATGCATTTGTGTGTTAACAAGTTTAATATCTTCTTCTCTACGCAACTGTACTCCTTTCGAAAGTCGTTTTTTGATAAATGCGGATTCTCGTTTATGCTTGATCTGATCAATTTTTGGAACAGCATCAACTGGAAATTTTTTTATCAAATTAGCTTATGATATGTACCGATTTTTTGAACTGCTGCTCGTTCATACTTCAGTAATGAATTTCGCTTCCTCTCAAATGTTTGAGAGAGGTCATCAGTTAGTTCTTTCCCGCGAACTCTTCTGGAAACTTTAGTCCATCTTACTTTTCGAGGATTTTTATGCTTTTTAAAAGCTTTATGACACTTTCCTCTACAGAAACGGAATTCCTAGATAAACGATGAGCAAGTAATACGAAAGTTAAAGACTAATGTATGGAAACCAAAATAACCCTGAAAACCTGGTTCATAGTAAAGGGATTAAGAGGTCATTCATATGAAAAAGATTTGGAATTCGGGTCGTTTAGAGCAATTTCTGTATATATAACTGAAAAGTATTTGTTATGACGAGAGACCTCAAATTTATTTGTTAAACTACTTGGAAGGATAATTTGGTTAATCACTATAAATTAAGGTGTCTCATCATTGCTTTGTCTCTGTCCACAATATAATTGTAAAATATTATTTTAATGTGACTGAGAAACATTATATCTTCGTTTCTAATTAGTTTATATTATGATCTGTCTCAAAATTTTTGTTGGAAACTTATTCTACATTTCATTGACCACTAGGTATTATTATTATTTTTAGGGTCGACCTTTTCTAACCCCTTCCTTCCTTGTGAGAAGGCAGCATCACTGCAGATGCTGGTTGTCCGAGGGAAACAACTTACTCCTGTCACACCCCTCTACAGTCAACAGTACGACTTCGCCCTCAGACCTTGAGTTGCTGCTTTTAGTCTTACCGTTCTCCAATCAACCTGCCTAGAATGGTAGAACCCACAGGAACATATGTTCCAGCCAATATAGCTCGGTTGGGTCATCACGATAGGCAAGCCCGACCACCGCGTCAAGGTAGCAGCTACGGTCAGAACTTTGAAAAAATGAGTCTACTTAAAAATGTAAACTCAACGAACAGTCTACTTTCGGAAAGCACGGTAATTTTTGAACCCAGTAATGATACTCTTATTAACCCATTCATCTATTTGGAACGGGGAGGCTGAGAACTTAGTCAACCTGCTTGATAATTAATATGAATTTCTACGGAAGTGAGGTTTAAATAAAGGTAACTTTTCGGTGTTGGGTATCATTTCGACGAATTCTCAACATGATTACTTTAAAGAATTAGCCTATATCTATCAGTAAGTACGAATTATGTGATCATACAGACTGTTAGAATTATGTTAACCATTTCTAATATATTTTCATGCTAACATTTATAATTACGAAAGCTATTAAACGTTTATAACAGTATTTTATTAGGAATAGAACAATAGTGACATTAATTTGGAAATAATCGTAGAATATCTGGAAATCGTCTAAAATACGCATATACTCGACTGATAATTTCATATTAAATGGAAAATTCGAACTACCAAATACGTTTAACAATACAAAAATTGCATTGTTGTATTTTAACCTTGAAAATCGTATTTTTTTGTCTGTAATACACCCATGTTAAAAGTACCAAGATCAACATTTGTTCTAAATGTTATTTATTTGAACACATAAATATTGGTACAAAGGGGCACCAAATATATATGCGCAACAAAAGTTACTTGATTCGTATGTGGGCTGTAATACTTCCCGGGTGCCCATACCAAAGCAGGTGGTTTTCTTAGGGGGCTACACCCAGAGCCTTCAGTTTAAGGGTCTGATCCACAAGACAGTGGAGCAACGTAAGGAGACGTAGTCCCATGGTAGCCGGTAACCAATAATTGGTTCATATGCCACTTGTTCCCCTAAAAACAATGCATCTTCCAAACTTTTTGTCAAATGGGATTATTTTGTTGTGCGAAATAAGTATTGACTAAAAACCATTATAATAATGAACTTTCCTACTCCGGAATTAATTATCACTGATGAAACAAGAGAGCTATTCGAAGAAACTAACTTAGATAACAGACCCAATCTGGTTAAATAGTTGTGTTTACCCATTCCTGCAGTAGCATTTATCTTCGTGGAACACACAGAATGTCATCCGAAAGAATTTTAAAACATATACCAAAGAAATGGAAAATTAATGACTCTAAATCCACCAACAAAGCCATAACTTGATTTGTTTCAAAAATGACAGGAATGGTTGGTGAACTTCACGTTGGATGAGTCTTTAATGCTGACGACATACTTTATTTTATAATGGAAAATGCCACATAATTCATTTGTCATTGGATGTACTCATAAAGGCATTGTCTTTTATGCTTTTCAGTAAAACTAAACTTTTATTCAATAGATTATTAACGTCCGTGATAATAAGTCGTTCAATATTATTTAGATAAGCAGGTAGAACCGATTAAACAAACAGGGTGAAATTCCTATAAATTAAGTAAAGTGCGGTTATCGAGTATTCATACAAGTTGAACTACGATTGATCACAGTTCAGACAATATGTAGATTTATGTTTGAGAAGCAAAAACGGCGAGACTCTAATTTAGCGACGAGCCAATCAGAAGACAATATAAAGTAAAAATATATTACAAAAAAGTAATGAATTACAGTGGATATTCTTCTTTTACCTGATTTAAAAACTTGTTAAGGTTTCATAAAGGCTCAGAAGTTCTGAATTCATAATGCATATGGTATAGAAACTCGTCCATAGGATTAGGGTTAGAGGCTAGGGTTTAGGGTTAGGTTAAGGTTAGGTTAGGGCTTAGAGTTAAGGTTAGGGTTTAGGTTAGGTTAGGGTGCTAACATGCGATCGGTTTACATCGGATTTTACAGAAGAGGTGTTTATTGAGAGGCTACAACCCCAACCCTAATCCTATGGACGAGTTTCTATACCATATGCTTTATGAATTCAGAACCTCTGAACCTTTATGAAACCTTAACAAATTTTTAAATCATGTAAAAGAAGAATATCCACTGTAATTCATTACTTACAATAGTTTTTCACTTTATACTTACTGTCTCCTGATTGGCCAGTAATTCTCAAGGTCATTGAAGATTCGTTCAAATGTTGTCGATAAATTAGTCTCGCCGCAAAAACATTTAGTTTATTTGAATCGGTATAAACCACAGGTCTAAATAGATCTAAAATTGGGTTCAGATTAATAATCCTTTCAAGGGTCTTCGTCTAATTACAAGGAAGATAATCCTTGGTTACATTCCAGTCTAACTGCAACTCTCACCAGTTTCTTTTAAATGGACATAAATAGGTACTTTACTAAATTGGTCGAGTTGCAGGTAAGTACGAACTTAATAGTAGCCCTAATATAATAGTAAAATTCCTCTGTTTGTACCTTACAAAACATCACCTTGAAATCTCATTAACACCAACTTACAAATAACATTTATATAATTTGAGACATGCACAAATTATTGAACGTATATCATTTTCCACCTCACTTGGGAGTGATCAAGACTTTAAGTGCTTAACTTATTTCACTAACAATAGATGAACAAATGATAAATTTGCGGTGACCCGATGAACAGAAATTATAACTATTGTTTCGTGACCTGACTATGCTTGCACCGGTGCAAGCTACTTCTCCAAAGCGATTCAGTCTTCAGTCTTCAGTAATAAGGATAGGAGGTCTGTCGACCTAGGTTGCTGAATCCCACTGAATTCGATACAAAAACTAACGCTCCTAAATGACGAGCCTGCAAAGCAGATTATTTGTCAACTATGTAACGTTGCTAAAGGTATGCTGATAGCTCGTTTTATCCATATACATTCATTGAGATATAACGAGCAGCTTGCACGAAAAAATTGATTCACAAAGACGAAAAAAAATTGAACCTTACTTTACAGTCATTTCTGACAAATAGAATCCCGTGACCAGGGTATATTGGACTTGAACAAAACCAGCACCTGTATATTCTCATGCCTGTGTAGTAACGCACACCTTGAAGTTGCCGCTATTCAATAGACACTGTCGTTTTGGCAAGCACGTATAAACTGGTTGACTTCTTTAGGCTCGTTTGGTTTTTCGCAGTACTATAACAGCTCACAGGTAGCGTTTAATAAGTAGTGGCTTAGCAACTCCAACGCGCTATTTCTAGTCGGTTTTTCTATGTGTCAACATATTTTATAATCTGAGTGCGTTTACTTCATAGTTGTATGCTTTCTGGAACCAGAAGCTTTCATATTACCAGGCGTTAGGTTGGTTGGTTATGATACAGAAAGTAATAAGAAGATTCGAATACTAAGGGAAAGTTATTGTTTTAAGAGGTAAATGAAAAAATACGTTGATTAACTAGTAATGCAAACACTACAGACATTTTGGGGGTTTTAGAATCTGTGTAGGACGTTTTATACGAGTTTTTGAGGCTTATTCCAACTAAGTGGAGCGAATTCGGTGGTTTGACGTGAATTTTTGTTATTATACGCCTAATATTCACATTTGGTCATAGTCACTGTGGTGATTTCATGCTTATGGCGCAACATTCGATGTCTTTGAATCTCTTTTTTCTCAGCCATCAGGTTAGCCAAACACAAAGTAATGAAATACATTGTTAATAAAACTCATTTGTGAGTATTTTTGGTATATTAACTAAATTATTACATCTTAACACTGAGCAACTCGTAAACACAATTTATAATGAGAATGGATATTGATGCTTACTGGTGAATTACCCAATGCAAATCAATTCATTTCATGGCCAAACTGTTGTTATGCTGCGTATACTTCTCTTATATATATTCCTTCTAAGTATACTGTTCAGTAATAGAAACTCCACGTGTTTCCAAAGCAGACTTATGGGAGATGATGATCATCTGCTATATCCCGACTATCTGTTCAGCTAATTTTCATTTGTGAGGCCTTTGTTAAAGGCATAAATTATAAAATTTGACAATTGCTTCGCATTCACTTTATTACAACATTATTTCTTCCAGATAACGTTTCATTCATCTGAATGTTTTCAGTAGTTGACAACAGTCAGCTTAATATGCAATTCCCCATTAAAGGAAGATCGGACCATGAAAGATCAAAGTGTTTGTTGCTAGCATCTTCTGGTACAAATCCAAATGACAGGATGTTTATGAATCGTCGCAACTTGATGTTAAATAAGAGATATTGTTCACTTTCAGGCAGTCAATTTTAAGTACATACTGTTTATTTTTCTGTCGTTTGAGTATTTAAATACCTTATAAATTTTAGTTAGTTTTCCTGAATACATCTGTAGGTTCATTTGTAAAATATTAAGTGGACTAAGAAGTCTAATTTTCGAATATTGAGCAGTCACAACACGGGAATATACTTTAGACTTTCTAGTATACTTAACCACAAATGACGCTTCTATTCGACAGGATTTGTATTTGTAGTAGATAATCTATATGTACGATACAACGTTCAATGAAAATCGTTGCACTGGTAACTTTTAAAAGAAATGGGCCCGAATTAGTGTTTTTATATAAGTAGTGTTGATTTGATGCAACGAAATTGTTATCAAAAGTTATTGCAATCGTGAGTAATCAACAAAGCACATTTCCAAGCGCAATCTACCTAAATGGTTCTGATAGTGGTCGTAAGCACCGTCCTTAAGCAGATCCATAATTTATTTGGTCATTTAGCCTGAATGAATGCCAGGAAATAGATGTTGCAGAAACAGTAACTTAATCAATGAAAGTGAAGATGACTTTCATCTGTGTTTCGTCTTAAAAATTGCTGTAGTTGGAATGCAGTTTCACAACCAGTTACAATGCTTACCGGTAATTGAAACCTCTTTGTCAACATACAAACAGACCCCTTGCTCATTTTGCTACAATTATAATGAGGTTGAAATCAAATACTGTAATTATACATACCGATTGTTGACTGTGAAGAAAAACTGTCACTTTTGGAAGTACAATACAACACGAAGTCATAATTGATAATTAGTTTGAAAATGGATGTAATAAAAATAAGCCATACTACAGAAATATGAAATGGCGTTTTACATAAACCAGATAGAGTGAGGAAGTTGCACGACAGAATTAAAAGACCAAGTAACAAACAAATAGCATTGTCAAATTGTGGTGTTTGAATGAACTAATGATACTTTTGCACTTGCTGATTGCACGATTTCGAATTTCAAATACAGTACATTAACTTGTGCTTGTGTTATACTTCTTAATTCAATTGCGTTAATTCTGTGACTCATAGTTCATACAACAATTCAAATAATTTCAAATATTATACACATTCAGCATGACAAAACAATGATCACTATATTATATGGTATTGTTTAACTATATTGCTAAATGATATTATCAAATGGGTGGCAAATGTAATAGTAATGCCTCGTTACAAAAGAGTCACTCCTTAGTAGTAACGATATGGGGTTAATCGAACTATATTAGTTCTTGCAATTTGTAGTACAGTGAAAATCAAATATGGTAGAGATTTTCACTCATTCGCCACTGGGTGCGAGAGATTGAACTACAAATATGGCCTTTTTGTTCTCGGTTGTTTGAGTTTTCAAGGGATATACTCTCACGTAATCAGTCCGTGGTGGAAAGATAAGGTAACAAATATACCAAGATAATCGTTCGGTATAACGTAACCCGTCAAGAATGAAAGGACATTCCGAAAACCATTCTGTTCCTTGGCTTAAGATAATTTCCTTCCACAAAGTTTAGAATAGCCATACGAATAATCTTTTCCATCGGTACGATGACTACACCGGTTAAATTAACTGATCGATGACTACGAATTCTCTAATCCCGGCTTTATAAACCGGAGTGGTGATTGTGCCTCTCTAGTCTGTTGGCGGTTTACACTGATTCCAAGACCTATCAGAACGTTTCGCTAGAGTTTCAACTTTCATAGTTCGAGCATACATATTGTCAGGACCAATAGACTTGTCTGGTTTGAGATGCTGAGGTAATCATGAAATAGCTGCCCTGATAACCACAGGTTCTATCGATAAAACAACTAATATCGTGATCAATTGTTGATTTCACCATCACCGGTAGAAAACACCTTACCAATATACTCTAATTGAGCGTCCCCAAGTTCGCCCCTATATATATGAGAACAAGCTTTTATGACTAATTTCACAGTTCGTTTCCAACTGCCTTTCATGTGAAAGTGAACCTTTACTTACCGTCGCATTGAATATCGTTTCAACGTTACAATAAGTGGATTCGCGCTGTTTAGAGACTGTAGAGTTTGTGTTGGTCGGTATTCTGTATAATTCTTAAGCGTCGTATACAGTTCGTCTTGATAACCGTCACTAGATAACGCCTAATGATGTATTAATCAGAAGGAGAATACGAAGTGTTAATTACGTTTATTATGGGACCACACACAGATATCCAATTTACAGGTACGTTAAGCAAACAAGAAAGAGTAGTACCGAAAAGCTGGCAGGCAAGCGAGTGATCGGGTCATTGAATACGAGTCCGAGTAAACGAGTAAAATGAACATAAATAAAATGCACATATATATACATAGCAAAATGAATGAATCATCGAATCAATTAAACAGCTAATAGTTAGGCCAGAAGAATGAATACTTGCGTAGGCAGTAAGCAGTGCTCAGGCATACATATTCATACAAGTGTAACAATAAAAAATGTGCATTGATATAGATAAGCTGTTATTTTACGAGTGACTCTGCCCGTTAAATGAGTTAACAAAAGGGCTTAACCAAATAAAATGTGAACAAACTCAATTGAACGCGAGTTGCTTTAAGTTAAATACTTCAATCATATTTCTAATACCTGAGAAGTTTGTTGGACTCCTTCGTTATTTGTGGTCGGAAGTTATTTGGTCTACGTGGTGATAAGTATGATATAAACGCAGAGGTTTGTTATAATACACTTTTTACTATTAATTCGGATCGATGTTATGAGGTGGTCTGGATCTTCATATTATTAGAGAAACTTATTTCTTACCTGTCGATGACATGCTCGCAATAATCTCATGTCTCTTCACTTGCATATAGTGAGTGTGTATAGTGTACAAAGCAACAGAAGTATGTCCATCTACTGCATTAAAATTCATTATATATCTTCTGAAAATCACTCAGAAACAGGAATGACTTGCTTAGCATCAACCGTTTAAACCATCTTTTGATATTGATGGGAGTATTTTGAGAACTGGAAGCCTAACCAGTAATCTTAGACATTTTTCTGCTGACACAAATAAAAAATTTTAGGGTCGCATTTTATTGTATTTACTGATATGACACTATTTTCGGAATCCAATTTGACATTAAAGGAAGCGACTAAAACGACATTTCGTCAAAAACGAACGCAATTTTCCCACTAAAAGGGAATAGTAGCACACTTTAAATTACTTTTAGTGACTTAGGCTTTTGGTAGCAGGTAGACTACTTGGCGATGTAAACACTACGAACTCATACAAGCTAAAACACCACCTAACGACTCCATGCATCTTAAATAGGAAATGCCCACTTGGAAAAAGTAACCCAAAGTCGTGAATTTGCTAAAAACCTAGATTTTTATCCATCACATCTAGTCAAAGATGTCCATCAATAAATCTGCCTACTGAACAAGCCAATCCCTTTCTGTGCTTAATATTTTTGTAAGTTCCAATAAATCAATACTTATTTTCGTCTTATTTTTGGCCGAAATTTACAAACGTTCTGTTCTAACAGAAATCAGACATGCTGCAAGATTATCACTAGTTGCTCCCTAAACTCACAGGTTACCTCTCGCAACGGATGAGTAAGCATATATTTTCCTCTACAGATGTAGCTGAGTGGACAAAAACCCAATCATTGACTTCAAGTGCACTAACCTTATAATACCAGACCTTACATATGGTAATCGAAGCGTGTAATTTCATTGACAAATCATTTAACTTGACACATCTGTATTCATAATAGTTACTATTAAAGACAACCAAAAAATCCCAAAATGGTAACGCCGGCAAACTTCTTGTTGTTGAGAGAGAAACATATTGTGCCTCAACGTAACTCTATCACACGAGAGATATTCTATAGGGCGAGGACAGGGAAGCCATATGACGAAATTTCTAAAGCCATGATCCAAAAAATGTTTTTCCCGTTACAACACACATCTAAAGAACTCGGGTGGATAGGAATACAACAAATGATGAATTAGTAATGATATAATTTGACTAATCGAAAGGGAGTAAGCGGTCTTTAGACCCACTTCAGTTTGTTGCACCTGGCACGAGTGAATCAGTGGGACGGACGAAGTAGCATATAAATAGGGTATTTTAGTAAGAGAGGACGGGAAATTGTCTCTTAAAAGTTGTAGAAGATGGGTAGTCACATATATATCTCTAAATGTTTTATTGCAAGTCCTGAGGATCATGAAGTTGGTTGTCACTGGAGGAGTAATTCAGTAAGCTCTAATGTCAGTTTACTTTTCTGTTTATAGAGACATCAGTGAACTGGTTATCCTGTGTCAAATAACGTGATGAGAGTACTTTAAAAATTGATCGTTTAAGATAAAATTTAAGGAACGCTTTGTGGGAATGGGGAGACTTAGTTTGATTTGTAGTTTTTGTCACTTCAACATATTTCCAGGAATACAAATTGTCAAAGTACTAAAACGTCGTTAATTATGAAAAAAGAAATATGTTGTCGATAAACTAGGGAAAAATTTTATTGGGTAACAATCAAACAACTGAACTTCTCAATGGTGAACAGCTAAAAACGTTGTACAACTACTGTGAAATTAGGATGTGGAGAAATTAGTCAATCAAACCTTTAAATGATAAAAATTGATAACATTCCAAATTAAAGAAGCTACGTCCAACAATGTGATTAGGCTACCTTCAAAAAGTAGTTCGATTGAAGCAGCAAAAGATAAAACATAGAGGAGCGATATGGTAGCCTTGAACTGAAGACAGCAAATGAAATAAAATTAGCATAGTTCTTAAAGGTCTGCAAATAAAGTGGAACACTAGGTACAAGCCAAATGAACAACTACAGTCAATATGAAGTCAAAAAATGGGAACAAGACTGCCGAAAATTGTAAGTTTATATTCTAAAGATAAAATAATGCACCACCGTTCAGAAAAATACTCACCTACATATTTGGCAGATCATTCTAAAAGCATTTTACGCACGTGAAAACTTTAATTTACGAACGTGCTTTGACTACGTGCACTTTTGGAAATTGTGGAGATATTTATAAATGAAGCAGATCGGAAATATCAGCTCTAAAACTCTATGCTCTCCTTATTCTACCGAAAAGAGGAACAGTATAATTGAGTCCGATTTATAACCAGGTCCTGAAGCAAACGCAATATATATGCTTCTACTCAGAACTTTAGGCCGCACGAATTTTTAACTATTCGAATCAATTTTATTTACTGACCCAAGACTTCGCCAGAAGAAATTTTCTAAATTTCGTTCCATTACCCCAAGAGGAACGACGTTCTTCTTAAGCAATTCTAAAGAACAACGAGTGAAAGTTATTGGAACAGCGTAATAAACTCTGCCAAGCTTCCATCTACAACACAGAAGAATAGTGATGATGTATAATATATAACAGTCCTCCACAACTTAATAAATCATTTTCACGGATCACAATTAACCTAAGATTAAGTAGACATCGACAAAATATAGTTTACAAACGAGGACAATTTCGTCGTTAGAATCTGTAGATCTAATATTTCCATTGGTTTAAACGATAGCATGCAGGATTACTTTGAGTTTCATCCCATCAAAATCCTTATTTCTTGGTACATGTAACTGGCGAAATTCCATATTTCATTTTAACTCAGAGCTGAAAAAAACGTTTTTTCAATTGAACTGGACAAAGGTTTCCTGGACAAACACTAACTCTATTCTTAATTTGGCCGGTAGTAATGAAAAAGAAAACGAATTATATGAGAAACACTAAAAAACCCAAATTGTACATCATAAGCTATATATTCGGGAGTTTTCACAGCTCAAAAGTGTGCTTAGTGGCAAAATTAAAGGTTACTAAATAAGGCTACACACCTGAGAACCAATAAGCGTGCTTCAGAAGCAATAAGATAAACCATCTGCCACCAAATGTTCGATTAACCGACTCTGAGAGTCAGAGAACAATCACCAACCGCTCCACACCGTAACCTTTAGTTCTGCGAAACATGAACTACGCATCAATACTCTGACAAAATACAACAAAAAACCGAATGTTAAATGTAAATCTCAACTGATAAAAAAATTAAGGCCAAGAAAACGAACATTGAGAACTATAAAATGTGATCAAAAAAATCCTGAAGGTTGAAATTTGAGAAGCGATGAAATAACAACGAAGCTACTACATTGTTCAACAGATTACTTCAGAGGGATTTGCAAAGTATTTCTACTGTTAGTTTCAGTTCGGTAAAGAGAGGAGTCTGGGCAAGTTATCATGGTCATGACGATAGTGGTCTCTCAGTTGATCCAACGTTGTTTGAATGAGTCAATGAATGGAGCTTCAACTACGTGTTGAGTTGACGAGTTTCATTAGTTGGTGATTCGATAGGAAAGTCTATGGTCACCTGACAAGTAGTTTGTTCTAGGCTTGTCAACGCTTTTAGTATTCTCATAAATTGTCTAATTTGGGAGACAAGAAAAGTGAAAGTACATCAGAGGCGAATTTATAGTTAAATAATTTGGAAATAGAGATCGAATCAATTCAGCTCCTTTTATACAAAATGGGGAATATGTCTATTCTAGCCAGTATCTCGTCATATGGCAGCCTCAACATTCCAAATGTCAACTCAGTGGCCATTCTTTGAACCTTTTACAACACCTCAGTTCATTTTCAGGCAGAGGCTGGCTGTTTGTACGCAGTACTCGAGTTTAGGACGAACAAACATCGAATACAAAGTCAAGAAGGTCCTAGCATATACATGGTTAAATACTCTATGCATTGACAAGATAGTTCTGAAACTCTTAGCAGCTACTGCACAGCAGTGTGCAGTGCTTTACGGATCTTAGCTGAAGATAACTCTTATGTCAATGGGTGTCGGTTCAAAAGGTAACTCAATGTTGTTCATTATATGTGTCTCTGTAATCTGGTGACCAATGTGCATCCTAATGCACTCGAAAGCAATTATCGGAAACTGTCGAATTCTAGACCATTCAGATAGTCTCTCCAGGTCATTCTGCAGCTCTTCCTTTGTCATCGCTCTCTACATCTTGCCAGTGTTGGCATAAACGAAGCCAATGATAGAATAGGAAAGTTATATACAAATGGGAAGAATGACATAGTTCATCAGACAGATAACCTGGAGTTGACGCCCAACTGGGAAGTCCTCTACCCACACAAGTAATTTACCTCCAATCTTGATACCACTTAACTCAGGTAACAGTATTGTGTAAATGATAACTACATTTATAGGTAGCCTTAAGTCCCTTTGAGAACGACTTTCATGGACTAATAATACGTTTCTGAGACATGAATAACCCGACTTGAGACGGTGCCATCTTTCGGAAAAGATTGAGATTTTGTTTAGATACTTAAACAGCTTCCAAATAATCTTCCATAAATTTATAATAACCACTCTATTTAGGCTTATGAATTGATTGTTTTCAGGTTTGTCTCGCACTTATTTTGAAAACAGGATTTACTATTATGGTTCGCCAGTATTTTGAAAACATTACTTGGGTCACATATATATATTAAAGGATTTGCTTAAAAGCCTGGGAATAAAGTTTGCCCGTTCGTTCATCAAGTCTCGTAGACTTGAAAACAGTTTTCTTCGTACAATTTTCTAGACTTGCCTAAGGTCGAGGTACAAATATTTCGGGTTTCTCGATATTGAGATTTTGTCACGTTATTATGTAGTAGCCTAAATCTCTACCAATTTTTCTAGACTGCAGTATACCGATCTAATCATTTGCTCTTGTCGTTGCATTTCAAGAGCTTTGTTATCGTTAACAATAGAGTGGATATTATTTCTAGTGAATAAATCTTCTAGTTTTAGCTTTTAAATTTTGTCGGCTCTTACTAACGTAGAGTCAAGTTCTCTATTGTCTACAGACTACGTCAGCATATTCCTGAGGCTGCAGTTACATCTGGTCTAGTAGAATTCGCCAGCACACCTAGGTCAGATAATTTGTTGACAAGCTTTGGATAATTTCATAACAGATTGAAAAACAATATAAATCGTTTTGCTATGCATTCAAAATTTCCAAGGTATCGTTCTCACTTGAAGTTTCATTACTCTAAAATTTATCATTTTGAGGACTATTCACAGTCAATTAATCTTAGTTTTCGTACTTTACGGCTACTCATTTTTATATGGTCACAGAGAGATAATCCTTTGAGGGCGAAAACCTTGACGCATATAGTTAACAGTCATTTTATGGTATTGATTCCCTTAATCAGTTTGGTTTACAACTATTGTTTTAATAATTCAAGTTACTAAGTTATACGAATGAGAATTATATCCTTCCGTAACCATTGTCCTTCTACTACAAGTGGAACACATGTCGAGAAAGTTTTCTATCCAATTGTTGGAGGCATGATCCTTAGGCGCACTAATTTAAATCGACGCTACTGCAGTTAGTGATGATTGTTCTGTTGAGGCTGGTAAGTTCTTATATTTTAAGTTACTCATCATAAACATGCTAGAAAGCCTCTAACATCCAAATTTATAAATATGTGAAGTGTCCTATTCCAACAAGACTCTGCAAAAACAGTCCTTTTTTCTCCACTTTTTCGACGAGGTGAGTAGTTTGCATCATATGGATACTGTCCTTATATTTCCTAATTATAGACATTGTGTGTAATATTCCTCACGTTATGAAAGAAGCTGGTTTAACAGATCCGTTAATCGCTTGATTAACATATACGTTTATATATGAGGCTCTAATTGTTTCGAGCTGAAATTTTTTTGATGAATTTAAAGTCTCGTCACCTATCAACTTTCAAGGGGTTTTTAAAACACATTGATATGCCTCAAAGATCAACTGGCCAGTCTTACATCATCAGCACATAAACGTTTTGATGTTGATTACACGTGATTCTTTTGTAGGTGATAGCTATTGTAGTTTCATTTAATCTTTAGGATACGTTACAAAGTCACTAAATTTCTTAGCAAGGCGAAATAAAAGTTTTTATTTCCGATTTCATCATAATCTACTATCTGTGGGTAGTGTTAAAGGGACATAGATTTCGGGGAAATGCCTCCTTATTGCCATATTCCTGTATATTTTACTGTGTGATTATACTGTCAGACTTCGATTACGAAACAAATCAATTGCATAACCATAATGCTTACTTTCATTCCCATTCTCAGATGACTTTTGCAAAGACTGGTTACACCAGAAGCACTATGTCATACGGGTCACTTGAATTATCAAGATAAACTATCATATCAAGGTAATAAATGACATCTAAGTGTCAACTTTGTAAAGTGATGATCGATAACTACCCACTACTTGGTTTTCAGTTTTCATATTAAGACAGCGTCCTTACTTTGGTACGGCACCTATTTTTCATATTTCTAGTCATCATTTCTCACCTATTAGTGGAAGTAATACTTTATCATATTTTTCTGTCACACACATAAATCTCAGAGCTACCAGTTCATATTCTGAAAATGCTATTCCTCCAACCAAACCCCGAAGAATGTTCCGGAAGTTCCTGTTTTTGAGTCTGATATCAATCAGTTCATTTATTGGCTTAGTTTACGTGTCTGAAACCATTCGAAATGAATTGATTTCATACTATCCACCTTCTAAGGATATACTACATGTGGTCGAAAATTCAATTGGAGGTTGGTATACTGGTCAAAAAGCTGAAGAACCGGTTCCTGTTGGTGATTTTCCACTTCCACCTAAGTAAGTATATCGTCTTTCGTATTTTAAGGGTGTAGTATTTTGTTCTACAGGGTTTAGGTTCTTTACGCTTGTAAATTTAGTGAATATAATAAGATGATTAAAATGTTTTTGTTATAATAATGAAAAATCATAGGGGTGTAAAAATAAATAAGGTTATATGATGAGTATTCACAAATAAATTTGCTTGTCTGACTCGTCATTTAGATCTTTTCAGGGGATTATTGAGATAGATTTATTTCCTTTAGGTTTGAAAGTGGCTTCATAACTAGTAATATTTGAAATACTTTCTCCATAATTAATAACAATGAAAGTAAAACATCTTCAGAATTCGCCATTGCTCGCACACTGTAAATAATTGGTGATGAACTGAATGTATTTCTTTTAGGAAATTCGTATCAACCATGTGTGCATTTTAGAATAATTTTTAAATACTGTTTATCATCTGAGGAAGTCGAGCTGTGGTATCAGTTCTTAAAGTCATTAACTGTTGGATCGAGGCGTAAGGAAAAGTGTGTTTCCTTGTTCGAGCCCGTGCAACAACTAATTCATATCGAGAGATGTTGGTTGATGTGGGCTTAAATGGGTCACTGCGACGGTTGTTTTGACTTTCTGTCTTTGTCATAATCTTGAGTTAAGTTTCATCTCTTTTTATCATTCAATCTCTTTTTTTTCTTTTGAGCTATATTTCCCACTCTCGACTTTTTATTGTAATCTATATTATTTCACGTCTTACGCTCATCTTGTTGATTTCTTTCGCTGTTCTGATGCAGTGTTAAAAGCCGGCTCGATCAAACCTTTCGCTTAGTAACTCCGAAATCTTAACTTTAATATTGTTTGATATGAGTTTCTTCAATATGCTTTTCATATTTGTGTAGTTGTATCTTGGTTGGATCAATTAGAGAACCTGGAAATATGCAGTGTTGTTTTGCCCCACTACTTACTCATGCGAGGAAAAACCTAGAATACAACAACCGATTAATGATAGCTAAACAGGGAAAAAAAGATCAATGATATTCAACTGCATACGTTTTAGGACCTCATAACCCATTGTGTCTGTTCGGAAACTTTTGCCAACTTGAGGACTACATACTCGTGAACTGATCTTATCGCTTTTCCGTGCGTTTTAACTGATGGTATTCAGCAACTAACTAAATGTTACTATACTCAACTTCCAGTCACAATTTGTATGTATATATCATGCTACTCAGATGCCCAAGTCAAGTTAGGTTAGCCAGAGTGTGAACATGGGATCCTGTGGTTGAAATTATTTATTTATTTAATTGCTGAGACACATAAGCATTGGTACAAGGAGGCACCAAACAGATATGCGCCATACTTCATCATTCGATTTATGTGGGGGCTGGGATACTGCCCGGGTTCCCAAACCAAACTAGGTGGTTTCTTAAGAGGGCCACATTCCGAGCCATTGACCTAAAGGTCTAATCCACAAGGTAGTAGAGCGACGCAGAGATGCTGTCCCTTAGTAGTCGGTGACCAACAATAGATTCGTACACCATTTGTTTTCTTAAGATCCTGAAACCCATTTGCACCAATAGTTTGGAATCAGAGTGGATCCTCCGTGTTCACCAACCCGAGTAAAGCGCAGGACATTCGCCTTTCGTCCTCTCACTTTTATAAACAACACCCCCGTCGCGAGAAGGCAGTGAGTAGGACTTCACTGGCAGTGGTTGTATGTACATGGCGATGTCAGAGCATTTCAAGAGGGTGAGCTGACTTCCTACTCTCGGTTGACCTGGGTATTCTGGGCATTTGGCTGAAAGTATTAATTTGTATTGATGTCGACAATTCACTTTATTCTCAGTGATTGGTCTCTTATTTTTACTACTGGCGAAGTGAATAGCAGTGTTCATAAATCGTAATATTATAAGTGGTCATTTGTTCGAAGTATTTCTATCAACAATACAAATTAAATATAATAATGTTCATGGTTTTATTGTCCACTATTCTGAAAATTTCGGTTCTCATGGATTATCTATGACGTGCCGCACTATGTCCCTAAACAACACGAATTCGAATCCTCAAGTTATCACAAATTATTTTTATTTATTATATTTGAACACATAAATATTGGTACAACAGAGAACCAAATATATATGCGCCACACAAAACAATCAGAATTCGATGATAAAATGAAAAGGAGGTAAGGGGCGTAAAAAAATGAACAATAACGAACAGATTAGTGTAAGGTAGTGTAACAGTAATAAAAATAATAATGATAGTAATAATGGGGGAAACGGAAAGGTACAATCAGAAGGAATCTTTCAGTTCAGGAAGATACAACCACTGTTTATAAAGAAAGTAAAAGGTTACAGCAGGATCGCCACTGGCTCCTATTCTGAACCATATCTGATAACGTCTCCAGCCGTTGTGTTGCACCATCTCTCGGACCCCAGCTAGGGAGTCGTGAAGGGCCAACAGAAGCCAGCCATTTGCAGCTTTCTTTCATACCACGACACCATGTCATACACTGACCACCTCTCCGCTTTTTCCAATCAGTCCCAGCGTCGGCAAATAATGCACGACGTGGAATTCTCTGCGACGACATTCGTTCTAACATTTGGCAGAGGGTGAGAATATGGTCAATACATCTTCGACCGGAACGAAAACCAGCCTGCTCCTCGCGAGTCAATCTTTCTGGGGTTTTGAACAACCTACGAAGTATGACGGAAGCCAATAGCTTGGACGCAACCGGAAGTAGACTTATCCCCCGATAGTTGTTACAGGTACGATATGAACCCTTTTTAAAGATAGGGACAGCTATCGACTCATTCCATGACGTTGGTACACTCTCTAGTTGCCAAACAACGTCGTCAATTCCTTAGTCAGAAAGTCACCACCATCTTTAAAAAGAGCCGGAGGTAAGTCATCTGGGCTCGGTGATTTGTAGTGCTTCAAGAGTTGTTCCTTGCGGTAGCATACAATTTTCAACCAGGCAGTGACTCGAGAACGTTTAGATAGAACTGAATTTATACCATAGCGAGCTGCTGTATAAGTCGAAAAATAAGGATATATAAAATGAGAATAAAAGAGAGTGAATAAATGACGTAAAAAATAATAATAAAAATAATAGTAACAATAATAATAATAATAATAATAATAATAATAATAATAATAATAATAATATGAATCGCTTGATCGCTAATCGAAGCAAGACAAGTATTTTCCATAAATATCGACATTTCATCATATTTGTGTGTGCGCTGTGATACTGCCCGGGTGCCCAGACCGAAGCAGGTGGTTTGCTTAGGGGGCCACACCGCGAGCCTTTAACCTAAACGTCCGAGCCACAAGGCAGTGGAGCATCGTGAGGAGATGTTGTCCCGTGGTAGCCAGTGGCCAACGACTGGTTCATACGCCATTTTTCTCCGCAGGATACTGGAACCCATGTGCACCATTGGTTTGTGGTCTGATTAAAGCGACGGGCATTAGCTTTTCTTCCTCTCATTTTCGTAAACAACACCCCCGCCACGAGAAGGTAATGAGTAGGACTTCCCTGGCAGAGGCTGTATACTTGTGGCCGTGTGAGAGCATTTCGAGAGGAAGGGCGGACCCACCTCACTCTCGGCCAAACCAGGGCATTTGGGGGCATCATGATAACGAATCGGATAATGTCAATGGCGTTTAAAGCGAACGGTACTGGGTTCGAGTCCTAGAGTGAGCACCAACTCTGGGATGCAGGTACATTCAACTGACGAGTCTCAAATAGGACAAAATGTGCGTACTGGATTCCACTTATCATGAATTAAATGATGAAGGTATGAACTTTAGTCACAAGCATCAAGGAACATAAGACCTGAGTTTACGGCTTTCAATCAACTATACCTAAAAGCAGCTTGCATTAAATATAACAAATAAATGTGGTACTAGGTAATCATCGTAATACACTTTTATTAAAATTTGTTGTCACTCGAATAGTAATTTGTACATATATAGTTTATTCCAGGTGTTTAGTTCATACTTTATTGGTCTTTATTACTATTTACTCTTTTTTCAAGACGAACTTCTGAGTCAATCAGTCAGGTGAACTCTGTGGCCACTTCAGAACCTGTTATTGTAAGTTACTGTAACAAATATTACGAAACTTTTTATATTCATCACTTCGTTCTACCACCTATATTGTAGTTTTGATCGAAAAAAATAACAAGTTAATGTTAGCATAAAAATGTTGTACTTTAACATTTACCGGCTCATTAAATTGTTTAAAAAGTATGAAATGATTTTTGTATATGCAGTGTTTGGCTATTGTTATGCAAGTTTTTACTAATTATAACTTTATGGAGTTAACTTGTGTATTCATCGGTGAAGCGTTGATGTGGGTTTAAATTTTCCCTCACTGATTATTTTTTGTAACAGTTGTAAAATACCCATGGTTTTCACGAATCTACGTATATTTTCAGCATCATTCGTTAGAATTATTTGATCAATTCATTTATTTCTTCAATTTCGAAGAGATACAATTTAAGCACTGTTTTTAGTGGGAAACGAAGGGAAACAAAATTAAACTCTAACGTCATGATCTTACTTTACAAGTTCAATCTAAAATCTTGGCGTTAGGGATATGTTTAGTTCAAGCTGTACAGGCGAGTATAGGCTTTCAGCGTACGCTCCTCAAAGTTGCTGTAATAAGTTTTTATACCTCAAAACCGATTACAATTGTTTCGAAGTCATTCACTATTTATCTCTTGTTTAATCTTGAGCATAGTTTCATTTTAGGGTTTTCATCATTCACTCTAATTTTTTGTTCTTAAACCATATGCTTATATTCATTTGCTTACTTTCATTGATCTGATTATTACAACTCATTTGCCTTTAATATTTCTAATCTATTCTCGCTTTGAGCGCATTCATTTGTGAACAAGAATCAATACACATTTGTACCAGATCCTAACAATTTAGTGTAATGCAACTCACTCACCAATTAGGTTTGTCTGATCGTTATTGAACTACAGTTTTTGTGTGTGCTAATTATACTGTTCAGAACTAAAGTAGATAAGTCGGGTTTCAAATGCATTTGTTGATCATTTTGTAATTATTTGGACTTTTAGAAATACTATAATAAATTCTTCTCAAGCCTCAAACCATTGTTATTTAGTCATTCTATGAACTATTTTTCTGGTAATATTATTATTTTCTAACTGATTTGCGTGTTGTCATCGCGTGTTTTTTATAAAATATCGGTGTTTGTTAATTTTAGATTGAGAAAAAAAAGCATTCACTACCTACTGTGGAAGAAGTCAAAGATATGATAGAGAAACGTGATCATGTGCCGGTGATGAACGTAGACTTCTGTAAGTTTCTCAGATGTTTAGCTTCTTTTTCTGCTTTCAAGTATTATTGTTAGTCATGTCTTTTATTGCTGAAACTGTGCTGTTTTGTACTAGACTGACTAGATTGATTATTCTCAATAGAGTTGTCCACCATAATCTTTTGTTAATACTGGCTTAGTTTAGGTTATTTATTTTATTTATTTATTTGAACACATAAATATTGGTACAAGAGAGCGCCAATATATATGCGCTCCGATCAACATTCAATCGAACTCTATAACTAGTTTAGGTTAATTATATATCCATCGTATTTGCTTTTTAAGATTATCCCCAACATTAAGAGAATACCTTATTTTTTAACATTGTCTTCTCACTCCATGTAAAGTTTTCAGAGGGACTAATTTTTTAAATGATCACATTGGTTAAGTTAAGAATAGGCTTTTTACGTAGGAGGCTCTTAAAGCACAGAATTTTGTAATAGTTTGATAAAACTAGTTTCAAGAAATATTATGCCCGATCTCTTTCGTTACTCTCTCTAATTTCTCCTATTACTGTCACTACCTCTACTATTCTATTCAGGGATTTGGCCTGACAACTTCATCTGTATGCTAATGGGGTATGGTAAATTGAACCGATGTACATACGTACAGGTTCTGTGTTGTGGCTGACTGACTGATTATGAGTATTTGCAACAAGATTTAACACCGATGTTGGTTAGTATCACTTTGTATGTATGGTATGGAAAAGGTTACTTGTTATGGTTCAGGCGACTGCCATAGTAAGTGATGATCTTGAGTACTCAGTATCAATCTCTGTTTCCCTTCCAGCATTAATCTATGTTTCATTCTATATCATTCATTTTCTATACTCACTTATTTTTTATTCTTCTACTCTAGATTTCTATCACTGTTGAAATTATTTGTGTTTGTCACTTTTTTAACGGTTTCTTGATTTCTCACCGCTGTAATTATACGAACTTTGGCAGTTTGACTTAACACATACTAAGTGGTTAGTTTCTAATCGTTTCTGTTATGAATCTATCACTCGTCGCCATCGACAAGTTTACCGAACATGATCTTTTCCTGTTTATCGATTTTGGAGGATCTCGATTGCTTTTAATGTGTAATCTTTTTACCATCAGGCAATATACTACGATTATTGTTGTTCAGATTTATCGAACACTAAATCGAGCCTGTATCATAGCTATACACTCCCTGTCTTCCCTTAAACTAAGAGATTAAAATCGCTTCATATCTTTCTTTCTACGAACCAATTCTTTCTTCTTGTAATATATATCTCTATATGCAATCTTTCTCTTATATATTACCACCTTTTACCTAACCACTGTTATGAATCTGGTGTTCATCTTGTTGTGCTGATGCGGTATGGCAACCTGGACCGATGCATATATGTGCCTGGTCCTACGTTGTAGCTGACTGACTGACATACACACTCTGTGGAGTGGTGGTTTAGTAGTTAAGACTCAAGTGTCAACCACAAAGTCCTAGTTTTTAAACCTCTACGTACTTCAATTCGGGCAACCGGGTAGCATCATCAACCCTCGAACTTAATGTAACTGTTCAAGCAGCAGTTCAAATCGTGTTTTACATAAACCTTGATTTGGGTAGTATGATAATACCATAATCCACTGTGAAGTGGTAATTTCCAACTAACAGTGGAATAAATGTAACTATCTTGAATAGCACAACTCAATTTTTTCCTACAACTTATTGTTTTATTTCATTTATTTTTGCGGTTTCATTTATTCAGATGAACTACCTAACGTTGTGAGGGATGTAGAAAGTAGAGTGGAGAGTGCCAAAACTAAATTGAAAGAATTTGAACATGTTATTGAGAAATGTCGCGATGCACTGCTTATTGCTGTACAAGATAATAATGTAAAAAACTTTTTATCTATAACTTATACTCTTATGAGTTAAATATTTCATTGATATTTTCATTTTTCTTCCCCCATATAAATACATAGTAAATACAATAGTCTTGTAGAATTAAATAGTTTGACTGAATCATGATTGTTTGTTAGCATTGTAAGTCTTTGCACGAAGCAAATTTGGCTTGTAATTTGAAGGGGCCACATATTTTGACCATAGTATAATAATAATACTGCCATTTCTTCTACTATTAGTAATGATGTTATTTTCAGTAATGAAGTGCATATTCATTTACTTGAAACATAAATATTTTACATACAGCTATCTGGCTTCTCCCACTGAAGTAGATCAATTGGAGTTTAAACCAATCACTCAGTAGTTGAAAGTCAATTGTACTAATCAAAAAACGTAATAAAACTCAGTATCCGAATGATGTACATGAAGTGGCTACTCGTTCTTATTGTACTCATCTACTGAATTTCAAATTAGAATATCGTCCCACCTACGTAAATTCAAGTCACTAAGTAGTATCACTAGCTTTCACGAAAAGAGAGGTATGGCTCAATACTGAGTATATAATCCTGCATTTAGTTACTAGCTTTGATGTGTTAGAGCCTTATATAACATTCAGCAATTAAGAACTCGTCATTAATATGTAGTAATGTAATTTGCTACCGAAATTCCAAGTTAAAACTTGTTACAACACCCAGCCTACTACCTGGAAAAGAAATTGCATATCGATTGGGGAGTTGATCGTCCGCATTGAATTCAATAAAAACTACAAGAATACTGCGAAATTCCTAACGCATCTTCCATAACACCACCTGGTATTACTTTATCCTTTAGAGTAATTCGATTAGCTGATAATAAGGGTACATTATATGGGTATTCCAATGTCTAACACCAATTAAAAGCTTAAAATAGCTTCAATAATAAGATTACTTCATCGGTTGTACGAAATATATGATACGAGTTTTTCATAAACAGATGATTCAATTACAGATAGTTAACTCTTATAGTAGAACAAGCTCTTGTCACATGAATTTTTAAAATGTATGGAGTTATTATGAAAAGCAACTGTAAGTAGTCCAAAACACCGGTATCTTTGATCACATTCTTAAGTTAAATGAGATCATCAATGCTATTCCGTTTTCTTTTTTGAGTCTCATCAGGAAATATCGTTTCGCTCTGCAAATAACTGAAAAGTATTAATTGTTCATGTGCACTTTTTCAGTGTTCAAATTACTCTCGATTCCATCAAGACTGTTATTGTTATTAATTTCACATTTTCTATTGTCTGTTTTACTGTTTGCTCTATAATTCTATATTTCCACTATAAAAGCAACAATCAAACCATCCTTATTTGATTTTAGAACCTTTTCCTATTTTATTTTAGTTAATTTCGAAAGAGAAAAACTGGGATTTTGTTGGAAAACTAGAACTGAAAAAAGACATGTTGGAAGAACAAGTGGAAAAAATCGTCCAAGAAGCTTCGTAAGTGTTATGTATTTTGAATGTGGGGGACTATCATTTAAATATAAATTCACATGATGTGGATAAATGAATAAAATGTGAATTTTATTGTTTTCATCACGAACTGACCTTAGTTAGACAACCATCGAAAGCACTGGACAGTTGTTGCATCCTAGTATGGGATTTTTCAGCAGTGCACAAATACAACTCTCCCAGGGACCGAACTCAGAACCATAATGTCTTGCTGTGAACATTTAACCTTTAGACCTGTTAGGATGTGCAGAAAAATATACCAATAGTTATCATGTTAAGTCTAATGTTGACCTTGGACGCTAAATGGACATTTCCTATTGGTCGATATCTGTTCACTTGTTAAATATTGTACGAAATGTTGTTTCCTATTTTTATGGTACGATGTAGTATGTTTGGTTAGTATATAAATAGAGCATGTCTGAAATACAATGATTCATATCTCAGAGGCTGTGACTTTCGTTCTGAACTCAACTGGCTGGGATAGACAGGGAAGCAGGGCCAATCAGGGCACTAGGTCGTTCGTACGTGTTGTTTACGTGTTGCAGAGGCGGTCGATATAAACGCTGCTTATCATAACCTGCAGTCACTCACCCTTTACAACAGGACCATTGAGTCGATATCTAATTGTTTACATTTATAACTTCAGTTAATTCTTCCAATACTATCAGTAGGAGACGTCTTCACATTTAACATGATCAAACTCCATTGACCGTGAGGTCATGGGTTCGTACTCCCGAGGAGTTTTATATTAGGACGAAACAGCTGCCTAGTACTTCCTGGCTTCTAATGATTGTTTAACTAAGGTCAGTACGTAATGCAAACTACGAAACTCAACGATTCCCACTAACCCTTTGAATCGATGAAAATTTAAATTTTAAGAGGATCATCAGGATTTCATTTATCATTCAATGAATAATTCATTAAACAAAATGATAACATTAAGCTATATATATAACAGAGGGAAAGCTGATAAGGTCTAAGTTGCGAAATTATTAAAACAATTTAGTGAACCGGGGGATCTTGTCGTAAATCTTTCATTGTCATACTCGATAATTTGAGCCTGCATAGTTGCTGTGTTTGAATAGATTACGATATCACCTAAAATCGGCAAACGGAACGAAGGATCAGCAACCCAACGACAAGTTAAACTATTCTAATGTGTCCCAGCCCTGCTAATTAGAGAGAGAAGCCCAGATTCAGAAGAGGTAGAAGTATGTTCTATAAGCAGTCAGAATCACGAACAAATCAAGTATACAACTCTAGCGTGTACATACAGTATAAAGGTCCTTGGGAAACGTCACAAAATAACGTATTAAAAGAGGTAATCAACCAATGACGTTTAAGGTCTTTCCAAGTAGGAAATACAATTTGAAGGTAAAAATGAACTCGCGAATTCAAATTTCCAAAATAAAATTACAACGAATTCTGTAACATTTTCTTTATGAGAGGAATAGGATATTTGTGTCAAGATTTGTCCTTTCATATTCTTCTTTCTCTGTTACCGTCTTTACAACATCAGTCAGGAATTTCCGCACATTGATGTTCTAGTCGATAATCACTTTCCTCTTAATGCACATTTGTTATTATGGAGGGTTAGTTCGGTAGTCAACTCATTTGATCGTCAACCATTAGGTCACATGTTTTAGTCCCTCTCCAGCCACGTTGACCTTGTGAAAATCGGGTACGTTCACTGACCAAGTACATAATTTTATTCCTGCTTATTATTGAGTGGGTCGTAACGGTGTATGCTACTTCCTCTTGCTTCCCGTACCTCTAGAAGACAACTGAGAACAACTTTTTATTCAGTATTCAATTTTTATGTTTAAAATAACTTACCATCTGGTTACATACTTTTTAGGAATATTTATGCTATACCTTGATCAATTTACTAAAAAATGCTCTATGATATCACTTTACAATATGAATATCTATGAAATATAACTTCTATATTTTCTGATTATTTTATGGATATTTTCGCTTGTTAATATTTAAACAAAAGTAAATTAAGCTACAATTTTCTTCGGAATCCTTAGTTTGTTTTAATGTTTTCTGGGGTTTGTGGTAGTTGAATTCGGTTTTTTATTGAGGTATTTCAGTTTTGTGTTGTTAGTAGATTTCTAAATCGAGAAAATATATCCCATGTTTTTCATTTTAGCTAGTAGCTCGGCTGTTTAGATCATTGATCTTCAAGTACATCGCTACGGGTTTCTGAAGGTTACTTCTATTTTCCTTTGAATATTAGCATTATAAAAGCTACCAGTCAGTCAATCATGTGCAACTTAGGACCTAGCACTTATGTGCATCGGTTCAGGTCACCACACCATTCAACACAGCGAGATCCCTTAGTGGTAGAAGTAGTAACATTATCAATTGTAGTACACAGATTAGGTATAAACTCCGTAATTCAAGGAGAAGAAATGAATTCGTGAAATAAAAGAAAAAGTATTGGATCGTTTTAGAACTCAGGACCTAAGCGAAACTGAAGAGTGAATTTACCAGCCTTACTGTAAACGATTCTGGCCCATATCACTCAAAGTCTCAAACCATTGGTTACGATAATCGCGCAAACCCCGACTAGGTAGTCTGCATCTATCAACATACTCAAGTCGACACTCGACTTCATGGATCGATGACACGTTTTAGTTTGATCGCCTTTATGCTATGGATTCAACTTTTAATCTCTGATGGGTTTATACCTAAATTTTGTTTCTTGTATTGTGATGTTTTGAATAATTATGTTTATTTATTTTCCATCTTTAATAATTAGACAACAACTTGACGAACTTCATCATATCATTGAGCAACATAAGAATTCGGAACAAGCAATCGACAGTAATATTATCCCTGATTCTATTGAATCTTATGGAAAATTACAATATGACTTAACTGGATCAATCAATAAGGTAGGCATGCACTTCACGATTTTTTTTGTGATTCTAAACTTCAGAATACGTTACTTTGTAGATTTTATTCTGTGAATCTCCCCCAAGTTTATGGGACAGAGAAAAGGTTGATAAATAACGACGACGTTAGTGGTCTAGGTGTTTGACTTTCAGGGAGTATGTCCAAGATTCTAGTTCTTCACCTACTTTGGTTTGGATAACCGTTTAGTTAGTACCAGTCATATTCAACTACACATATTTGTACTCGGTAAATGAGTTACACCATTTGATGAGTAACAGTTCATTATCTTGTGCTACTTAAAACTTTTTCCCTGTATTACTCCTAAACGAGTGGATTTCTGTTGAACAATGTTTGATCCATGTTAAAATCATAGGTACATACTTTTGAGAAGTTCGATACTAAGACAAAACGGTTGTTGAGTGCTCTTTTTTCTCTTGAGTTCATCAGTTAATATCAGTCCATGACGAAAACTAACTTTGAAATATCCAGATTTTTTACTGGTTTATGAAACATTAAGCTGAGTGAACTAGTCATGACATAAAAAAGCTGTTTGATTTGTTAATAAGAACTTCTGAATACATAGTGAGCTCGTATACTGTATATGGCTTCACATGTTAGCACATAAAATATTGAATTCCTAATATTCCCGGGATAAATACGTGTTATATTTAATTGGTCTTGTGAAACATATAGTCGATTGCTTTGTATTCCAATCAGTATTAACCGCTTTTAACGATTTTCCTAACATGCTCAAGCTACTATAATATAAATATGATCAAAACCAATCCAGCGTATTCATAGGATGTAACCAGTCGTTTAGTTTTTTTTTAAGAAGCTGTCTTAAAATGCGACTTCCTGTGAGATTACCACCGTGCCAAATCTTGCAACATGAATAGTATTTTAATTAAGCAATAAATTCAAATTTTTATTTTGACTACATAATTATGAGTAGAGATGAATGGTGGTTAGCAGTGGGATCCAGGACGCGCGTTTTGTCCACCTTAGAACTCGATAGCTCATAATACTTGTGACTTGAGGCAATATCGAGGCAATCCCCACAAGATGCACGTATGCCAATAAGAGGTTGATCAATTTCAGTACTAAATGTTAATGAGAAGATACAAACAACCAATACAAGATGGATTTATAATGTTTACCGTTTGTTAACCGTTTCATTTACCAAGATATTTCTAGATAATCATACTACAAATTGAAAATAAATTGACAATTTTCACGGACCAAATTAAATTAATACATTATAGTTGGTCTCTAAATATTACTTTGCTTTCTGGTTAGTTTCTTCATGTTTTGAATCCCCCCCCTGGAATTGAAGTGCTTTTATGATTTTCTCAATGATTTCATTGGTTTTTAGGTAGTAAAACTTCAGAACGATATTAATATGCTTAAACGTTATCGTGATTTAGCTTCTTCATCGCATACGAACTTACAAAATGATTTAGAAGCTTTGTCGAAACATATTGAAGGGAAAAGGCAGGGCAAAGGTGAATAATTGTAATTGCTATTATAACATTGTTCTATTTTTTATATTCTTATTTGGATTGTTAATCCACCCACATTGAAAATATACTTGATAAAATTGAATTACAATTTTATTGTGTACGTTTAATAAGATTTGTGCTTAAAACTAATCCGTACTGTAAATTCTTTCTCGATCATGCTATCCTGAGATCATTTTCAGAATATGTTATCGCTTAGTATTCTTGGACACTACTTCATTCGATATATCCCCAAATTTAGAACAGGAATGTGATTATACTCCAAATAAACAAGGAATCGCAATGAGAAAAACGTCAGTATAAATTCACTTGGTGTTGTTTGCTTGTATCTTCCAATTGTTGTTTAGGACTGTAGTTGATCAGTCTCTTGTTGGCATATAAACATCCTGTGCGAATCGCCTTGATAGTGTCTTATGTCGCAAGCTTTATGAACTAAGATGGATGGTGGCTAGCAGTGGAATCCAGGACGCACGTTTCGTTCTATTTGGGACTCGTCAGCTAGATGTACCTGCACCCCACAGTTGATGTTCACTCCACGACTCGAACCCTGAAACTTACCAGTTGTTTATCATGGAGTATTTATGTTTAAACCTTTAATCTTTATTGGGGGAACATTTATTGAATTAGTCAAAAGAATTTTGAGTGATCACCAATAGCAGATTATGCTATTGTACTTGGTTGAATGTAGTTTATAGTGAAGAATTTTACTGCTCATTTCCATCTTGTAACTTTCTAATAAGAACCCTGATCATGTCATATAATTTAAATACTCATGTCGAATTTCATAATGAAGTACTCTTTTCATTTAATATGATTAGGGTTTGGAATCGATTAAATATTACTACATGCAATAACTATATATACGTATTAATAGTGATCTGTTGACTTTTGTATGTATATACATCCAAGGATTTCCTCTCACTCATCTTTAACAGATTAGACGATTAAGCAACCTTAGTGTTATGTCTTATGGCTTGTCAATCCCCACGTGATAAGATCACCAATCAGAACACGACTTATACAATTTCAGTACCGTGCCAAACCGATGACGTGTTGACTAGGTACGAGCAGTCTAGAATCCTTATTGGTCTTTCTCGTCTAGCTCTGCCTATTAAGTTCAGAAAGAAATGTCAGCTTCCACTATATGAATCATATATCTCAGACATACTTGGTTTATGTACAAGTAAACTGGACCATATCGTACCATAAAGTAAAAAATAACAATTATACGGGATCAAGTCAAAAAGTTACTGTGGTTGTGAGAGATTCTAACTAATAAATTGGGATAACTTAAGACTAGTAAATCGTATGATAGTAGTCGATAGGTTAAATTAAAGCTTATGGTAAAAGTTATATGTATATATATAATCTAGTAACACTTAACAGTTATACGATAGGAATATATTTATCATAACAGTCTATAGATAAGTCCCGGAATTTATTTATGATTTAATCTTCTTCGGATGTAACAAATGGAGCCCATGTTTTTCACTGAGTAGTAGTAATTAATGTTATGTTGTTTATTCCTCAGTATTGATTGGATTTTGTCGATAAAGTTAGATTGTATCAACTAGAGTAAATAGCTTGGAATTTCGTTCAGTATTAGTTGATTGAAGGCACTCGGTAGGAAGCTGTAGACCTAGGTTTTCATGTTAACATTTGTCAGCATGATTTATATACAATAATAAAGGCCTTCCGGAATGCTAATACATTTCGTTGATTTGTGTTAGTTGGCATGAAATGAAATTTCATTGTTTCCTTGTAATATTCTTCATTTGTTCAATGATTCCTGCTTGAAAATAGTCACTGATTATTGTATTTTATTTGTGTTGTTATACTGATTTTATTGGTTATTTTAGGCACTTCCAAAACAATGAATGTGGACGAGTTGAATGATTTGATTTCAGTGGCACATGCTCGTATCTCTTCCTTACAAGATAAATTAGATCATTTAGAACATAGTGAAAGAGAACGAATGAAATCAGCTTTAGAAGCACAACGTCAAGCAGATGATAGTCTTCGAGAAGAATATATCAAACAAGAATTAAATCGAGAACGCACGAGACATGAAATTGAAAGACATAAATGGGTGTGTGACTATTTAGTTTCCTATTTACCTAATTATTATATTCTTTTTTCAACAACACTTCTGGTTGCATAAGAAACCTTTGGGTAGGTGAAATAATTTAACTTCAATTCAAAGATCATAACATTGTCGCTTGTATTTACTGAATGATAGACCGATGGAACTGCGACATTGATTGATAACGATTTTAATTTTCGAGTTATTATCACTTATCATTAGATTAAAGATCTGCTTAACTAATAAGTATCAAACAGTATAACATATAGATAAAGGGCTTCTTGTGTGTTGCTTTATTCTTCTAGAACTTAATGGTCTACGTACTCAGGTGATAATCATCAGGTCACAAATTCGAATCTCAACTCAATTTTAGATAGTCCTGTTCTTACACGGCTTTATACTTAGTTGCTGAGTTGAAAACTTTATTAAAATTAAAACTTAACGTTGTCGAAATATAGATATTTTAGTAATTTAGATACGAATCACTAACTGAATGCTCAGGAGCGTTGTATGAATTAGCTAGATTATCCTAACACAGGTAAACTGAGGTAGATTTTTAATTTCACTATTAATTGTTTTAAACACCTCATGGCTATATTTGTGTTCATGTGATAGTATATATAAGATTATAATATGTCAAGAAACTGCAGAGGATTTTTGTACGCACTCAAAATTCCATCGATCCGACCTTATTTATTCGTATAATGAAATACTATTTGTTAAATAACTGAATTCCATCGAGTTTCTATCTCTGTTTGATCAATCAATCAGTCAAAAGCAACGTCATATCCGGTGCGTATGTCTATTGACCTATGTTTCCACATTACATTCACATAGATTGATGGATAACAAAGTAACGATGTTAGCAGTAGTAACAGTTGTAGTCGTAGTAAATAGTACTAGTAGTAGTAGTATCGGTAATAGTAGGAACAATTACGGATTGTGTATTGTAATTGAAGGCGGGAGAATTAATTCACAGACTAAAAGGCATAAAGTAATTTTAATGCACACTAACTATTGTTGATACATTTTTTCTTATGGCTTGGTCAGGATATTGTACACTGTTTTATGTCTTTTTTCAAAAGCCTGCTTATTTTATATGGTTTCATCACAAAAAGTATTTTGTTGCATGAATAATTATTATTCATCTGTACAATATTATTTAAATTAGTTACGGGAAGCACGTGATGCTAGAGAACATGAATTGAGATTAGCACTGGCGAGACATAGTGAACATCTTTCACATATGTTACAATTACAGAAAGAGAAAATGGAGCATCAGTTTGCACGTCAACTACGTGAAGAGCTGGCAAAAGAAAGAGTCGCTTTTGAAGCTGCACTTATCGGTTGGACTAAGCGTATGGAAGCCATAGAAGATGTTATAGACGGTTAGTTAACCGTTGATTTTTATTTCTGCAGTATTTATTTGACTCGTATTATTAGTTTTTTTATTTCATGCAGTAATAACCTACAAAGCCCTCTTAAGAAAAAAAGATATGTTCAGTATTTAATATGCATGTTATCTGTGGCTTGTTGCTCTATGCATTCGACTCTCAACCAGCGGGTCACAAGTTAAAACTTCGCTTCATGTTTGGCAATCAGATTTTAAACTTTATTTTCTGTTGCTTTACAATTCTGACTCCTTAATCCAGTAAACGGGATCGTGCGTGGATATCAACTTGTATGTTGTGTCGTTCCCATTATGTATCAGCACAGCTAAAAATTCAATACTTGGCACGTAGTTCATTCCTTACATCTTTCTCTTTTCTCTTCATCATGTGCTTTATTAGCAACTCATCACACATATTAATTTTCCTATTTCAGGAAGAGCGGATCTAGATCGGTTAGCTAAAGAAGCACAATCATTATGGCTTTCATGTGAAGCTTTAGCCTGTCGATTGCATTCAGTTAGCCCGTCAACGAAATCTCACCATGAAACGAAAAGCGATTCGGTCCTACTGAGTCAAACTGGATCTTTAAAAGATTTTGTCAATTCCATTCGTGAATGCGCTGCTTCCGGAAATTACCCTTTTGTCAATATAATTCTAGACAGTCTATCTTCCGATATAGTGGAAAATGGAGTTTGGACAGAAAATGGATTGAAGAAGAGGTTTGAAAAGGTGAATTTCTATCTTTATTCTACAGTTTTTTAAATAATTCAAATGGACTTTTCGTGTTTGATTCCTTGAATTTGGTTATCACTTAAGACTGAATAGATATGCATATGACTTAAGTGATGCTCATTAACTTGTATTTTAATAATTGAAACATCATTTCCATCATACCGCCTTTTGAATCCACTATTCCCCAAAATACTGTTGATGCGAACCCAAAACGTTTTTTTAGTAAATATTACATAACGTTTTACAATCGTCTGTCATGTGTGCAGACCGAACCATGTGTTACCATTGCCTAATAACCAGTTTTGACACATTGAAGGACCGGCTTCAAGACAAATATGCCACTTCAAGATTATGTCATTACTTTTTGTCATATCTTATGACATCTATAAATATTATGGCTATAGAGGGATTTAACAATTAAGTTTTTGTAATTCAGCAGCCAAGTACCAATTTGCGTGTTTAGTCTTTTACTGTGTTTTACATATATATGTGTGAATTAGTGCTGTTACCTAGGTGCCTAGATCGATTTTGTTTTAGCGGGGTTCGAATTTGCGGTTTCATGGTTGAATATTGTGTTTAAGCCCCTACGCCACTGCTTGTACATTAAAGTAAATTGTTTGTAACAATGGTTTCATTATCAATAAGTAATTGCGAGTGAATTTTAAATTATCTCTCATTGTTCTACAGAGCTGGTTTCCGTGACTACTTATCTCCTTGAACGTTTTTAGGAAAATATCATTGTATATCTTAAACTGACCATTGTAAAGCAACATTCATGTACTTATAACATAGCTCACTTAAAAAAAAACAACTTTTCCAAAATGTCGCATTCATTTGTTTTTGCGTGTTCGGATTAAACGGTATCAAAGCAACTTTATTGAGAAATCGACTTAGTCATTTGCTTTATGGAAATGTTATTATATATTTTGAATGTTAATTACAGTCTTCATTGTAGAGTTATATGGTACCTTGTGCATACTAATAATATATATTGTACAGGGTTGAATGTGTTTCATCTCCATCTGTCACGTCTATTTGAAAATCAAAAACCACTTACTATTGTTTGTTTTTAAATCTTTATCAAAGCGATTGCTAAAAATCTCGACTTGCCATATTCCATATGTGTTATGTCGGACACTGTTATGTCTACTGAATGCTTAACTAACTGGCTTGTACTGTGTACTGAGGTCCTGAATTTGGAGACGCATAGTGAGAAAACGAAGACTGGTGATAAGGATTTATTTGACCTGGGAAATAAATCGAAATGGTGCATGAAGAAACTCATTTACATATTGATTTTACTCGAATCTTATGATTGGTTAATAATTACTAAACAGAGGAAATACACAGAAATATTACAATCACTCAGACTACATACCATACTGAAACGAATTTCTTACCGAATTAATTCAAAAAATATAATATTGAATAAATCAGTATTATACTGAACAAAATATCACATTGAAATCAAAACAAATATTACTTTGTATAGTCAGAATGTTAAGTCAAAAATAAGAGTAATGTTGAATGAAAAGCACAGTGAGTTAAGAACGTAATTTTAGCAGTTAATAGATTGGAGTAAGATTTTGTGAATAATCAGTTTTCTAAATACTGAAAACTGAACTAACCACCGCCCATCTCGAGAAGGTGTGTTACTTGGATAAAAGCGAACTGGAATAAATTGACCAAATCAATACATGAGATCAGTCCTTGAAGTCATTGACTACTGATCTAAACCATCCTGAGAGATGCAGATTACCTAGTTGAAGTTCATGCAATGACGGCGATCTGAGATTGGAGATTGTATGATGTGGTTTAAAGTAGTTTACAGGTACATTCACTCTTTATCTTCTTGTTGATTCGCAATCCCATATTTTCCTCATATATATATCCTTCAACTGTATGTTCTCAATCCATATTTCAAAAATTCGGTTCTTCTCACTGTCACTGATACTACATTATTTCTATCTCTTTAGCAATTCATCTTGTTAATTTCATATCATCGCGCTAATGTGGTGTGGGAACTTGAACCAACGCAAATCTTTGCAAGGCTCTATGTCGATAATCAGTGACTGGCTGGCAAGTCTAACTGGGTCAATTATTTCTTTTATTAAATTGCTTTTTTGTCCGATTGGACATAGTCTTGACTTTTTAGATGCTTTGTTACTTTAGACCTTTTCAAGGCAACTGATATATTCTAATTTTATTATTCATAACTGAGCCTATCATGGACTAGTCACACACGTATATCATTAGATTTGTAGGCTATATTTCAAAGGCGAATTTCGTTTGTAAAATATTAAAAATTCGCGTTCATTCATTTCGCATTTGTAATGATTACATATTAGATTATTCGTAAAGATTTTACATTTGTTTTGTACCATTTGCTGTTTTTTGTTTTCTAAGGTATATAACGTCTGCAGAAATGTCGCATTAATTGATGAAACAAGTGGTTCACTATGGGAATATGCTTTATCATGGCTACAGTCTATATTAATCGTAGATGTGAAATATAAATGTTTGGAAGCGATTTCACGTATTAAACCAAATATTAGTAGTCCTTATGTTCAATACATTAAAGATTATGATACAACGAAACAAACGGACTCAAGACCAGATTCATTTCAGTTGTTATCTAGTGCCAAATTCGCTATGGCTAGCGACCACAATATCTTTTCAGGTGACGAAAATACATCTGGTGATGAAGCACTTGAAACAGCTGTACGATTGTTAGGTCAGTTGCGTGGTCAATCTCGTGTTGTTGCAAATGATTGGTTAGTTGATGCTCGACACTATTTAGAAGCTAAACAAACTGCTAGAACGTTATTAGCTTATGTTGCAGCTCGTGATATTTCTACTTTCCAAAAACGTCTATAATTATTTTCGGAAAGAACCATTTAAAAGGGCTATTTCATTATTTATCATTCTTATTGTCGTTCTTGAGTACTGTTTGAATCTTTTCATGAAGCGTCTTTTGTGAAATTAGTATTTAATTTTTGTATGAAAGGAAATTCTGATTTGTATTTAGCCTTATTTAAATGTACATGAATATAACTAGACAGAAATACAGTAGTACACTTTTCCTATCAAGATTTTCTTTGGTGTTGTTGTTGTTGAAAATCTTTCCACTATTTAGATTACACAATATCTTGTTGTCTAGCAAATTCCATTTAGTCGGGTGCTTGTAGTAATTCTATATTTGTATCTTTATGGTAGTAATAATATTTACGGGTAAATAAATAGCATATATCACCCACTACGCCAAATCTTAGGATATTAGCATTGAATATACTCTACGATTTATATGTTTGTAGTTAAATTCCATTAACTCTGGGACAACCAGTTTGTTTGGTTTTAATCAGACCTTTCATCGGCCCTCGGTGGCGTAGATCCGTTAAATCCAATCTATCTGTATGTCATTGTCATTGAGTTGTTGAAGCATGATATTTCAGCTTTAAATACTATCTATTTAAGTTCGAAAATTGTGACTGCTTATGCAATCAATATGCGTATTACTATCAGTGTCTTGTTTTTTTTGCAACAATATATTGACTGTATATGTTTGCAGTAGTTCAGTAAATACATACGGCGATACGTATTCATTCTTCAAATCAATTTCACATCCATACCTAACTCGGCAAGATGATGCAAAAGATCACTAAATTGTTGTTATAATAAGTATTTGGGACTCCTTAATAATCGAAGTGGGTTTGACAAAGGACAACTCAATAATTCCCAACGATTAGGTACTATAAATCAGGATGATTGTCGACAAGGTTACCCAGATAAAATGTATCTACAAAATATGATTCCACGTAGATCGGAGAATAATTAATCAAGTAGTTTATTTGAAGATGTATTTCACCAACTAGTGCATATAATTTTGCTGCTGGTTCATTGGCCAGATTGCTAACCATCCTAAGCATACTTCACCATCAAAACTAATAAGATTCTAAGTTTAAGACGGTGAACTATAATGCTTTTATCCACAGGTTTTGATACTGAATACGTGGTTATTGTACGCCATAGACTAGAATAAAATATTACATGTCTAGTTTTTCGCTTGAAAACAATGTAGTCTCACCTGTCGAATGATTGTTAGTGAACTCTGTCACACATTACTAGTAATTGATTTGAGCAACAGATGGCTCGGGGACTTCGTGAAAGTTATCTGCCCTGTATACTTCGAAATGAGAAAATAAAGATCTCTGGTAAGTCGAAATAAATTTTCCATTTCACTGGAGCTTAGAATTTTTCTGGTCGCCATGTTTATTAGCTAAATGTTCTTAACACTTCGGACAGTTCTTGGAGATTTCAAAGTATTTATTTGTTTTTGGGTTCCAAAAAGTGCTCAACTTATATAATCCTCGATGTAAATAGATGTCTTGATACTCAGAAATCAGTTTCCATATGCTGAGTTCGTAAAGTAGGAACGTTTTAGTTTATTTTTTATGTAATGAAAGAATATGTTCAATATCTTTGTGACGAGTTAGTGTTAACAAATTGTTTTCTTTGGATTCGTACCTCAGAATCAAGGTGTGTTCCAGGTCTTGTGTAGATTCTAATGTTAATGACCTGGTCGAATTGCTGCATTAGTCTTATTACTTTCGAATTATTTGGTTGTTGATATACCTTGAGTGTGTGTACATCCCCCAGACCAGTGGAATTACCAAGACCAGCAGTAATCACGTTTATGGGTTGAATTGTTGGTTGTTATATAAAATATTTAGAATCACAAGTTGTAGAGAAAGTGCAACGGTTAAGGGTAAATTAATTGACTAACCAGGCAAATAAATATATGAGCTAATAAAATATAACATATACAAGCGAACAATATTGTTTTCAATTAGTTCCTCATCAGGCGTTAACACGCGGTAGTATATGGATTTAACATTGTGGGATCAGTCGGCAGTTGTTTCTCTATGTAAGAAGGGCTTACTTTCTACAACTAACGGGGGATAAGTCTACTTCAGATTGTGTCCAAGCCATTGGCTTCCGTCATACTTCGTAGGTTGTTCAAAACCCCAGAAAGATTGACTCGCGAGGAGCAGGCTGGTTTTCGTTCCGGTCGAGGATGTATTGATCATATCTTCACCCTTCGCCAACTGCTAGAACACCGTCATACTTATCACAGGCCAACAATCGTAGTGTTTATTGACATCAGAGTTGCCTTCGATTCGTTGTACAGGAATGTTCTCTGGGATTGTCTATTGAAGAAGGATGTGCCTGGGAAGTTTATTAACATCTTAAAGGCCCTATATACAAACATCTCAGGTAGAGTGAGGGCATACAACCACCTTCCTCTATTGTTCTATTCAAGTAATGTGGTTAGACAGGGTTGCCCAATCTCATTATTTCCCTTCAATTTTGCCAATGATGACATTCTGGAAACAGCTCTGATGGATGTAAGTAGTAGCAGTGTGGATCTATTGCCTGGAGAAAAACTTCTTGACCTTGAGCATGCGGATGATATTATCTTACTGTGCGACAATGCCCAAGCCATGTAATCCGCACTTAATCAGTTGGCAATCGGTGTCTGTAGGTATGTTATGTGCTTTGCACCTTTGAAGTGCAAAGTACTTCTAAAAGACTGGCAGGATTCCAATCCTGTACTCACCCTGGATGGTGAGCAGATAGACGTAGTCGAGAAGTTCGTGTATCTGGGTAGCTGCATAAGTGCTGGTGGTGGCGTGAGTGACGAGATCAATTCATGTAAAGTGAAAGCCAGAGCGGCTTATGCCAATCTGGGCCACCTTTGGCGCCTTCGTGATGTTAGTCTGGCTGTAAAAGGTCGGATCTACAACGCGTCGGTGAGAGCAGTTTTGCTCTATGCTTGTGAAGCCTGGCCTTTCCGAGTCGGGGATGTTAGACGACTCTTTGTGTTCGATCATCGCTGTCTCCGAAGGATTGCTGACATCCAGTGACAACACCATGTTAGTAATGCAGAGGTTCGGCATCGTGTGTTTGGGCACAGAGATGATAATGCAATCGATGTGTAGCGTGGCGTGGAGTCGAGATTGACTATGTACACCGCTACCAAGAAGCTCGTTCCAAATGACTCCATAAAAACCCCGAGAAGCCAAATATCAGAAGACGGAAAATGGACCAAGTCAAGATTTATTCACTGGCGATCTCGTGGTATCGAAAGGATACCGAGATCGTGCCAGGATACAAGCTTGGTTACAGAAGGTAACCGAATTCGCGCGAAAGTACAATCGAAGTGTAAGAACAAGAATGGAAGCCCAATATAGCTGTCATTAGCACAGTCAAACAAAAGCACTTTAAAACAAACACTGGTACAACTGTTTATAATAATAATTGTTTTTATTAAATCAGTCGTGTTATCGTGACAAATGTAAGCCACTACAAGAGCCCCCCGCTAGAAAGGGTTTACACTTTCGATAAATAGCGGTTTAAATCGTGGGACTAATCGGCTGACGAGCGATTGTAAGACGAACGGATTGGCGAACAGGAAAGCGATCGTTGATCGTCGAGTTGCCAACGAAGGTCGTTTTCGGAGAACGGTACCAGGAGCGATGTGCTGTACTTGTTGCTTGAGTTGGCATGCTACACGAGTGGTTTGTATCCAGAATCTGAAGATGGCGTTCGTAGGGAATGCGGACCAGAAACGCTGCAGACGTAGGACGAAACCACGTTGAGCCAAAAAACCAAAAGCGACCGCAACGACCAAGTTCGAGACCAAACGTATGCCAAACATTCGAAACCAATATATCGACTGAGTGCGTTGACAAGAGCGTGGGTGGCCAGTCCAGCTTTCGCCAAAGTTGACTGAAGTCGACGGAACCAAACGGAGATGGTCGAAGGCGTGGGCTCAGGAAACAAAAAGAAAATCAAAAAAGAGAAGTGTAGCATGCGTGTAGTATAGGAATTGTCGGTTGACTGTGCGGCTAGTTGCGGAAGCGTACGGGCAACCGTACTCGGCGACCGGAACGTGAGACAGTAGTCTCGTTCGCGTCGCGTGAGCCTGCAATCTCATCCGAAGTCCAAGGTGGCGTGGTCTGCTGATCTGGACGTGAGACTGTTGTCTCGTCCGTAGACGGTGCAGATGACGCATGCTGTTGACTGGGACGTGAGAATGAGGTCTCAGGTGTATCTAGCGTGGGACCTGAAGATGGTTTGAGGATCCCGCTAGTAGGTTTGATAGGTCTAGCATTGAATCTCAGGTTATCAGATAGGGCACTGTCATCGACGTGTGCTGGTTTGAGACGATCAATGTTGACGATCTCGACGCGTCCATATCGATCAACCTTGAAGATCTTTTCGTGACGAGCGATCACGTGAAAAGAGCCTTCGTAAGGTTGTTGCCAAGGTTTGCGTACCGAATCTACTCGTAAGAAAACATGTGAACAGGCAGATAACTCTCGAGGGAGAGCGACCTGTCGATGTTGTATTCGAGTTGACACCGGAGACAGCGTTCGCATAAATGGACGTAGTCTGATTTACAGAAATCAGGTCTGCTCCGTGGTGTAAAGGATTCTCCGGGCAGACGCAATGTCGTGCCGTATACAAGTTCAGCGGCGGAACATTGGATATCTGCCTTTAAGCTCGTTCCGATCCCTAAAATAACGAGCGGTAAGGTTTCGTGCCAGTTGCTGTTTTCGTGTGCTCGTAGAGCACTTTTAAGTTGGCAGTGAAACCGTTCAACTTAACCATTTGGTGCTGGGTGGTAGACGGATATGCTTATGCGTATGCATTCCGTACCAAGCAGCCGGGTCAGCGAGGAGAATCGAATAAAGCGTGGGATTTACCGTCACGCGAATAAAAAGTGACAAGGATTCGGTACACATACGTGGGAGTCTATTATATTAATACTATTCTTATCGTTATCCGTCATGTCGAGTATATTATGTATTAAAAGATAATATGAAAATATACGACAGACGTGGATAGATAAATAACAGACTCACCAAATTGGCTTCTTTGGTAGATTTTACCAGAGGTTGCGGCGTGTTCCAAACTTTGGGATCACCAATTGTAGCGTGGCGTGGAGTCGAGATTGACTATGTACACCGCTACCAAGAAGCTCGTTCCAAATGACTCCATAAAAACCCCGAGAAGCCAAATATC